CTTTGCCAGGTTAATCAAATACCAGCTTCCTGACAAATGTCAGCCTAACGCGGAGGGGATCGAGGAGGATCGACGAGCAGAGCAGAGCAGAGCAGCAGCAGTGGTCCGATGTAGTGCCTCGGGCTACGGCCAGAGAAACCCAGAAATTGAAGATAGCGGGCCAGGCGCACGGGCGCGCCTCGGCACTCCATCACTGAATAGGCCAGAAGCGAGGAGGGGGAGGAGGAGGAGGAGGAGGAGGAGGAGGAGGAGGAGGAGGAGGAGGAGGAGGAGGAGGAGGGAGGGGGAGGAGGAGGAGGAGCAGGAGGAGGAGGAGGAGGGGAGGGGGAGTAGGAGGAGCAGGAGGAGCAGGAGGAGCAGGAGGAGCAGGAGGAGCAGGAGGAGGAGGTTCAGGAGGAGGAGGATCGAGGTCCAGCCCCGCCAGCGCCGCCGCCTGCGCCAGGCGCACGGCGTCCGCACCCCCGCCGTCGAAGGCCTGGCCGCGTGCCCCGCCCCCGCGCCGCGCGGAGGCGACCGCGCCGCCGTCCGCCGAAGGCCCCCACGTAACATCGCGCATCGCGCCCCGCGGTGCGCGATTGTCCTCGCGTCTTCGCGCCCCCGTGGCGCTTCCTTTGGTTAGCCGGAAAAGAACCCCCAATCCTTTGGGAGGAGACCTGAGTTAGGGGGGGCAAAAGCATGAGGGATAGGGGCTCTTCTCTGCAGATGTATCAGTCCAAGCCGCCATGATTTATCACCCTTACTGCAAAGACGGGGGCCTCAGAGATGCCATGTCTTCACTGTGTTATCAGGGCTAGGGGTTCTTTCATCATCGAGGATCCTTCGAGCTCGAAACAACAGATCGAAGCCCCTGAAGCCCTGAGGCACGTGGGCCAAGGGTAGCTGGATTTCGCTGCCTCCTCTCGCCGCCAAGGCAGAGGGATTTCGTCACGTGATGAGGAGTCCATTCCCCCCACCTCATCCTCCTCCTCTTCCTCCTCTGTACCTCCTCCTCCTCCTCCTCCTCTTCCTCCTGCTCCTCCTCCTCCTCCTCCTCCTCCTCCTACTCCTCCTCAGGTTCGCATCGCGTGGCAGATCCATGTCGCCCACCGCGAAGGGAGGGCGAGCGGGCGAACGAGCGTGCTTTGCACCAGGCGGCGCGTGAGCAGGGGTACGAAAAGGACTGTCGCAAGATACCTTCAGCAACCGCTGCAAGCCGTCACAGACAGCTCCCCGTCGCACACGCTGCGCCGCCCCCAGGGCGGAAGGAGTCATCCAGGCGACCGCGGGAACCGGCAGCCTCCGGACAATTCCGGGAGGCATATCCGGGGGTGCCCCAAAGGGGAGGCGTCCAAGAGTGGGGTTCGCAAGTCATGGCCCGGGGCAAGGGACACATTGAAAGAAGAAGGGGCAGTCCCAGACATTTGACGTCCTGACTGTTTCAAGACGGCGCCAATTGAAGTCCCGACCCTTTCCTTGAGACAGGCTGCCGTTGTTTCACGGCGCCAGGGCCCGGAGAAGGCCCCCCAGGGCCAACAATAACAAAAAAATCTCCGTCCTGATATTTTACGGCGCGCGATCATGTCTGGGGTCGTGAGATCTGGGGCGATGCCATGGCCCCGGCATGTCGTCTCGACCCCTCCCCGGTGGCCGCCCCCGGCCTGGACACTTGTGGGCCTCCAGGCAGGGGCCGTCGCCCGGCCCGAGGGGCCGTCAGCAGAGCGACCCCGCATGAAGAGCGGGTCCGCCAGGGAGGGGGTCCAGATGATGTGGGGGCCTTTCGGATGAGGACGCCCCCCCAGGGTCTGCGGCCTCCTGGGCCCACTCCTTAACAAAATGCCCCCACCGTATGGGGGCGACGATGTGGAAAGCATTGCGACGTCGGAGTTGTGGGACCGAGGGGGGGGGGGGGGGGGCAAACCAACTCAAAGTAACGCACAACAGCGCAGAGCAATGCAAAGCAATGCGCAGCGATGCAAAGTAATGCAGAGCAATGCGGCGACGGACGGCGCGGCGACCGCGACGGACGGCGCCGTCGAAAACATAGCCGCCAGACCGACCCGCAGGCCCAGACGACAGGCGGCGACGAGGCGGCGACGGCGAAAACATAGCCCACAGACCGACCCGCAGGCCCGGACGACGGGCAGCGACGAGGCAGCGACGGGGCGGCGAGGCCGAGAAAATAGTCCACAGACCGACCCGCAGGCCCAGTTCCGTTTTCACTAAGCGCAAGCACTGTTTGGGGAACGTGCACACTCTCAGAGAGCAGTCGGCTACCCCATCTTGAACCCTCCGCCACTCCCACCCCTCCTCCCTCGCCCCCGATACGGGCCCTCCGGGCAACCGCCATAACGGAAGTGGTCCTGCGGCGGGCAACCTCCGCTCGGAACACTCCGCCCCTGGCCCCCCCGTCCCCATGAGCCCCGAAGTGGCCCCCAAGAAGTCAAGCTGGGGCCTGGAGTGTCCTCAAGACGCTGGGGGGCCTGGGTCATGCGAGCCCCTTCTCCAGAGCCCAGGGAGCCAACTACTGACGTGCTCGCCCAGCCACGTCACGACTTTTGTTCTGGCCTGGGGCCATTGCTTGTTTTGATTTCCCCTATGCTCGAAGACTCCGCCACCCCGCGCGGGGTAATGAGAGAAAGCGACAGCAACATAAATGATGAAGGGATGAGCAGCGGCACAAGCCTGCGCCGGAAAAATTGACCCCACTGCCATCGCAACGTGAGCCTCTGGAAGCATCCTCAGCCACGCCACGAGCCAGCCACGTCACGAATACGGCCCCCACGTCCGCGAGGCTGGCCTCGAACTGCGAACCCTCGCGCAACGCACACCCTCGCCATCGGCGGGCACCGGGCCCAGCAATACTGGGAGGCGGCCGACGCCCACGGCGCCGGGCAGCGTCGAGGGACTCGCGGTTGCGCCCGCGGGCTCCCTCCCCGGGGGTGCTCCCGCGCGATGCCCCGACGCCGCTCGGAGGCTGCGGAGGTCCACGTGCGCGCGCGTCTCCGTGTGCGCTCGGGGCCCTGCGTTCCCTACTCCCCCCCCCCTCCTAGAGGCCTCCCCGATGGGGGTCGGAGCAGGTGGGGTCACAGGATCGTCGACGTGGGCGAGGCACGGCGACATCGCCGTGGAGCACAGCGGGCCCCACATCGAGCCGCCTCGATGGTCGACGATGCGGCGCGATGCTACGACCCAATCTACTCGGACCCCATCTATGGGGAGAGAGGAGCTCGAGGAGGAGGAGGAGGAGGAGGAGGAGGAGGAGGAGAAGGAGGAACGCACGTACCTTGAATCCATGGTGACTCAGCTACCGCCACGGCCCTAGCGTCGCATCGCGACGAAGGCTGCGGCTCGTATTTCGTAATGGTAGGCGGGCGTGGCCGCTCTTGGCCTGACCGCAAGGTCAGCTTTCAGCTTGTGGTAAATATGGAAGCTCAGCACTACGATATGGTGGAGGAGGGGGAGCAGGGGGGCGAGATGTGCTCGAGGGGGGGAGAAGGGTTCGAAGGGCTCGGACCCCTCCCCGCACGGCATCCGCCATATGCGACTCCTACCCGGGCAGCCGCCCGAGCGCGGAAGCGTGGCCACGTGACGAGCGGAGAGAGCCCGCGCTCTCGGAGCCCTCCGCGTCCCCCGACGACCCCCCCCCCCCTCAATGCGCCGCTGGCTGAGGCCGACCAACTGCGCCGTTCGCGAGGCCCACAGCTGCGGCGCTGTATTACGATGGAAACCTTCCACAATAAACCTCTCTTCCTCCTTGTCATCCTCGTCCTCGTCCGCATCCTCATCTTCCTCCTCCTCCTCCTCCTTCTCCTCCTCCTCCTCCTCCTCCTCCCCCTGTAACTGTAGCACTGTAGCACTGTGAAGCGTGTCCGTGCGAGCACAGAGGACACGCGCCTGGTAAAATATGCGGCCCTGAACATAATAAACCGGCCACCTTGCGCCCGTAAGCTCCTCACAATCAAGGGGGCACAGGCACGACATCAATATCGCCTTCCAGGCGAGGGACCTCCAACAGGGTTCAAAATTGACGGGCTGGCATAACCCAGAATAGCCGCCTGAGCGCACCGCAGGGGGTTCAAGATCCTCCTCATCCTCCTTTATTCCTCCGTCCGACCCAGCCTGTGCGATCTATCCCCCATGTGGGGGGGCTAGGCGTAACGGAATGGTCGTCCAGACCGTTACGGGTCACCCCAGGTGGGTGACTCTGGAGAAAACCTGGCAAATATCCGCGCTGCAGCTTCCGAAGCTCACTGCTGACGCGGGGGGGGGGGGGGGCACTCGCCCCTGCCAGGGAGCCACCTCCTGTTCGCTGCCTCACTCGGGCCTGTTCCGTGGGGAAGAGCTGCAGGAGTTTAGTGCCCGCCCCCATGCAATACCCCCCACTGAAGTTACAAACAACAGTTGGCATATTACTCCCGTCGGTCCACCCCATGCTTAGGGAATGGTGAAGGGGTCGGCGCTTGTTAATTGCCTCTGTGAGGGAGGGGGCTACTCTTGTGAGCAAGGCCTCCTGCATTGAGGAGCGGCCTTTTTCAAACATGTGGTGCCTCGGTAACCCTTGCCATCCCAATAGGCGAGTGGGAAGAGACACACGTGCGGGGCGGAGGGGGACCTTGGACAAGGGACCAAAATTCTCACGCGAGGGGGGCCAGCTGGCCAGAACCCTCCCTGCCCCTGTCACGAGCTCGACATATTCTTCCAGGGCCAACGTGCAGTCTGCAGGGGAAGTGGGATCAACGTCATGCTTCCCAGCGGCCTTCTTTGCTAGAGTGTCCGCCATCCGATGTCTTAGGATTCGATATCGGACAGAATCGCTGACCGCATCTTCGACGTTGCGGTGAGCGTTGACATGTGAGAGCGACAGAAATGGCCCTGGCGTGGCATGCGCCAGAACCCTCCAAAAATGACTGAAGAGGGTGGTGCTCTTGAGGCTGAGGGCCGGCTGCGAAACCCCGCGGGAAAGAGCCTTGCAGTCCGCCGCAAACTTGGGGACTGCTCAAGATCAGAATTGAGACCCGCCGCTACGAGTCCAGAGTGCTCACAATGGACAGCGTGCTGAGGTAGCACTCGGGGCTGAGGGGACGACACAGCGCGTAGAAGAATGCCATCAACATCTATCTGGCACGCTGCCAGGCCCCCGCGCTCCAGCATATCGAGCCGGGGTCCTCCTCCTCCTCCTCCTCCTCCTCCTCCTCCTCCTCCTCCTCAACGAGTGCATCAATTACTAACAGTGCTTCACGAGCCGAAGAACAACGCAAGCTACAAATACGCGTCCACCATGAAGGACATGTACAAAGCGTTCGCCAGCTGCAAGCGACTTACACGGACACGACCAACGGCAACATCACGCAGGATCGCTGGGACCACGGAGAACGAGATACCACAGGGCAACGTTCAACATCGATAGCAGGGAAACACCTGGCCAGGAGCTGGGAGAACAAGTGGACGCGGCCTCGCTCGACAGCCCCCACACCCGCAAGTGGACCGAAATGGCGAACTACACGGGGCGCATGTACGACGCGGGAGCGGAGCACGACTACCTCGAGAAGTACTACACGGACGTCAATGAGTGACAGGGCAGAGAAGATAGCAGACGGCATCCCAATCTTCCTTGCACGCAAGAACAAGGGCAAAGGAGGGGACATCACGGAGAAGTGCAGGCCTCAGTTCCAGGTGAAGTCAACGGACATGCAGCTGGAGACGAGCCGCAAGATCGGGGCGGGGCCGCACGGAGAACGAGAACTGGGACGTCTCGCCAGAACGACACGGAGAGAGGAGCAGCACAATTTGATGTGCTTGAGCGGACGGCGCGGCTCTGTCCTACCCCAGCGTGCGTGGCCCATCAGGCCACCCCGTTTTTACGCACCAGCGCACGATTCCACGAGCTGGTCAGGGAAGGAAGCCCTCCTCCTCCGCCTCCGACCGAGTCCTCCTCCCACTCCGAGGCCCGAGCTTCCCTGACCAATTTGTCGTGCACCGACCTCCCCAGCCCCACCCGAAGGGCCGAGAAGACGGGGCAGTAGAGGAACCAGCGAGAGGGCACCCGACAGCGGGTGCTACCCTGCCCGCAGTTCCCTGCGTGGGGGAGGACGGTGCAGGTAGGGCCCGAGCGTCTCAGTGATGCCCACGACCCCCTTTCCGAAAAGCGACCTCAGCTAGGCCACACAATGTTATTAAGCAGCACAGCGCGCAGCGACAGTGCAGCACCGAACTGGCCCGAGAGCTCGATCGATCGATCCTCCTCCTCCTCCTCCTCCTCCTCCTCCTCCTCGTCCTCGTCCTCCTCCTCCTCCTCCTCCTCCTCCTCCTCTCCCCCCCCCCGGTGCGCGCAGCGCGCCGGGGGCGGCGTCGGAGGCGCCACAGGGTCGGGTGCCGATCCAAGAAATCCGCGCGGAGCCCCGAAAGTTTATGTACAGCGGAGGCCAGTCCACAAGAAGCCTTCCACAAGAAACCCAGCCCTTCGACCCCAGGGCGTCCCTTGAGTTCTGGTGTGGGAGCGTCACATGTTCCATGGCAATGCCATCGAAACCCAAGAAACCAAGGGCACCCTGGCGGCAAGCAGGGTGTTTCTTGGCGTGGTTCTCCACTGTGTGCGCACCTGGTGGTGCGGACCCATGCGCCGCGGGTGCGGCCGACCCACGCGCCGCTGCTGGGCCCCCCTTCCCTCCCCCCCTCACCTCCCCTTCCTCCGCATCGCCCTCCTCCCGCGCCCCACCTCGCCTCGCCTCCCTGACGCTGCACCCCACACCTCCGCGGTGCGCCCCCCCGGCGCCGCTGGGACGCACACGTGGACCACGACTTCGCAGCGGGCCGCAGCCTGACAGGCCGAGTGTGTTCGCTGGCTGTAGTACCAGAATGGTTCGTCGCCAGAACCTCCCCAGATCTCCTACGACGTCCGTGGTTTTCTAACAGCGTGGACCCCTGGAGTTCTTGAACCCCTTCCCCCGCACCTATTTTCCATCCCGGGTCGTTCTTTGACGTCCCGGGGCCCGAGGGCCCCCGAGGCCGCAAATTGCCAACAAAAGCACCCCTGGTGCTCTGCGCAGCGAGAGGAGCTGGGACCAAACTGGCGCCGGCTCCTCGATGTGGAGCAGCGCGCTATCCCAATCACCGGCCTGAGGTCATCCTTGGTTGTTTGGCGGCCAGCCTGGAGGGATGTGAGCAGGGCAGGCCCACTCGGATGCTGAGAGGCTGTCTCTGGCCTCTCACAAGGGGCTCAGATGACTCCCCAGAAGGCGCGGAACCCGCCGCCTCCCGAGAACGCCTACCGGCCTGCCCCCGTCTCATCTCCCCGACGGGGTCGCCGCCGAGTTGCACTGCGAGGGGGCCACCGCCCTCCCCTTCTGGGCTGGGCGCGGGGGCTGCTAAGGGGATGGGGGGGGACCAGTGGAGGCCAAACAGGCTATACCTGGCCTAAAAAAACTAGCTCATTAGTGGGTTGCGAATGCCCCCTAGTGGCTTGGGGGGATAGCGATCCAGGCTAAGTGGGCTCCGCCCACTTAGCGGAGTTGTCTAATGCACCTGTGTCACTTGGGGCATGTGTAACCCACTTATGAAGTAGGGCAGGCCAGGTGTAACCTCTTAGGCGTCCATTGCTAACCCCTATCCCCTTAGCGACCCCCGAGTACATCCCAGTTTGAGATACCAAAATGTACCGATACCACTGCTCCCCGGACCTTTCCTAGGGTACGGTCTGGCCAGGAGGTTGAGCGGAGTCCAGCGGTGGCGACAAGGGCCGCCCAGGAAGCCAAACGAGGAAAGGCAACGGTATGGGTACCTCTTCGTCTTCTGACCCCTCCCGCCGCCCCAGGCTCCGCGCCCCCACCCCACGCAGGGCAGCCGCCGCCGTGCGTGAGAGCCGCACCCACGCGGCGGGCCTCCTCCGCAGCCTCAGCAGCCTCCTCGCGGACGCGGGTGATGGGCAGAAGCTCTACCACCACTACTACAGGCAGGAGGAGGAGGAGGAGGAGGAGGAGGAGGAGGAGGTGGAGCCCAGCGTAGAGGGAGAGGAAGAGGAGGAGGAGGAGGAGGAGGAAGAGGAGGAGGAGGAGGAGCCAAGCGTAGAGGAGGAGGAGGAGGAGGAGGAGGAGGGAGGAGGAGGAGAAAGAGGAGCCCAGCGTAGAGGAGGAGGAGGAGGAGGAGGAGGAGGAGGAGGAGGAGGAGAAGGACAAGAAGGTGGAGGAGGAGGAGGAAGAGGAAGACCTCCCCCTCCTCCCTCCTCCCCCGCCCAACATGTGGTGGTGGTGGTGGTGGTGGTGGTGGTCGTGGTGGTGGTGGTGGGCGGTGGTGGTGAAAAGTTGGTCAGAGCCGCGGCGGGCGGCCGCCGCTCGCGCGTGGTCCCCTCGGGCCCTCCTCTCGCGCGGCTGCATCGCACCAAAGTGGCCGGAAGCGGTCCCTCACGTGGTGGAGCAAAACATTTCTTCGTCGCAACGCGGCATAAGCGATCCGCACGCGCGTCAAGGGCGAGGCCGGGACACGGCATCGCGAATTAGCCTTCATGCGGGAGGAGGGGGAAGGAAGGAGTGGGAGCAGGGCGTGGGGGCACACTCACGCAGCGAGGCTGCGGCGGGTGCGCGGGCGCGGCCGGGCTGAAGGGTAGCCCCTGGCAGCAGCTGCGGGTCGGCGTCGCAACACACCCAGGGTGGGGGAACAAAACACGCACATCCCTGCTCAGAGCTAAAAGAACTCTACCCCACTAACTGGACGTCACTTCAAGAGTTTTCTTGCATAGGAGAAAAAACGGCATCAACATAAACCTGTGTGCGCTCCGACCCGATTCCTTGGATCTGCGCTGGACCACCCTCCCTGGCGCGCGGAGCGCGCCAGGGGCGCCGCCGGGGGGGCCCGCCTCCAAGGAAAGGGCCAGTGTGCGGTCCAGATTCCTGGTGTTCTTTGACGAAATCTTGAGTCCATGAACGAGACTAATTTCTGCTCAGGCTCCTCATTTGTGTAACGTACGGTACGTTCGTGCGGCGTCGGCGCGCGCAAAGGTTTCTGTCACCGCGTCGATCGGTCAACCCTGAATCGATCGCGGCCTCGATCGTTCAAAAATGAGATCCGTCGTGTCCAGTGGCGTCCCCGTGTTCATCGGTGTTTCTGCGTCGCAGAATCCAACCTTGAACGCATACGCCAGCTTCACCGGCGCGCCAACGCCGCATGAGCCCACAATAAATATCTATGTCAAGCCGCCGTGAGACACCCATAAGCGCGCCACGGTTGAAGAGAGCACCATGTCAGCGACCAAAGACGAAGGATTGCTTCATTCACACATGCACAGATGTGCGTGGCCAACACGTAAGAGAAATCCGCCGACCCTGTCGGCGTGTGCGGGAGGCTGCTTCGTTTGACTCGTCGTCGTCGTCGCCGTCGTCGCCGTCGCCGCTCCCTCCTTTTCCCTGGCCCGCCTCCAGAAGCGCGCTCGCCCGAGCGAAACAGCCTGAGTGAAATTGAGCAACGTCGTAGTTGCCTCGAAGGAAAGCCCCTTCTCGTGGATGCCTCCCCCGCGGGGGGAAGGAGGGGGTCCCAAGGGGTAGGGCGAGGGTCCCAGGGGGGTATAGGCCCCTGGCCGGCAAGGGCGCCCCCGCCCGCCCGCCCGCCCCTCCTGGGGCCCCGGCGTGGGAGGCCCCGAGCGTTGAGTCGGGCCTGTCCCCCATACAGGCCGATTTTGAGCGAATTCTTCTCATGCGCAGAAAATGCGCTAAAAATGCTCAAAAATGGTCAACAAGTAGTCCCCAAACTTTTTTTTTTTTTTTTTTTTTTTTTTTTTCCATTTTTGAAGCTCCTCCGTGTAGAGGGACAGGCCCGACTTAACCCGAGCAGAGCAGGGCGGGGCCCAAAGCTCCAGACCCAAACATCCGACGCTCCAAGTGAGCGTTTCTTATTCGGCGTTTGGCAGCCGGCTCCGCACGTCTGCTTCGCGCGACTCTCTGCAGCAGGGCGCCCTGTGGGGCAGGAACTCCACCCGCGCAGAACAGGCGCCCAAAACACCCAAGATCTGCTCCATATGGGGGGGGATGCGAGGGCCCGCGCCCATCGGCAAAACCATGCATAACAAAAACGACCACCAGCACAAACTGGAGCTGGCGGTGCTGAGCTGCTTTCGGCTTCCTGGGGCCCTCACCGGACCTCGGGACCGTCAGAACACGACTCTGGAGCGGGCGGTGTTGGGCTGCTGTCGGTCTTCGGGGGCCCTCGCCGGACCTCGGGACCGTCAGAACAACAGCTCAGGACGAAAAAACCGGCCACGGGGAAGTGGTCCAGGCCTTCGGGGCCCACGCATCCGAAAATCTGGAGCAGCCCGATGCCCGGGTAGAGCTCCACCGTTCTCCACGACGGCGCGCTGGACTCGGGTGGGAACGCGCCCCATACGCCAAGTGGCGGACATGCCCGGAGCAGTTTGGGCACATAGAGCAAACACACCCCTGACTGGCATGGAGGACGCGAGCGCTGGATCCCAGGCCCTGGGGGCCTCCGCCCAGGACCAGCTTTTCATCCCGGGCAACTTTTTCCTGGCCGCGGCGACCATCGGGATCACGAGAGACGGCAAAGCGAATCCAGGTCCTCCGCTTCAGTTCTTATCCCCTTCCCTTGACGGCGACCAGAGAGGGGCCCTGCACTCCAGACTCCACTCGGATGCGGTACGGGACCCCCGCGGGGCCCGTCGCGCCCACCACCAAATCCAACGCGGCTCTCGCCTCTGCCCTCCGCCGAGGGAAGACGTAGGAACACGGCAAGGTGCACCATCACCACCAGAGTGGAAAGTCAAGGAAGGTCGTCCTGGTGGTGTGGTCCCCCCCCCTCTCCAGACATCCGGCTGCTCCGATATTTATCGATGCGTGGGCTCCGGAGGCCTGGGCCACTTCCCTACCGGAATGCTTTTCCGTGCCGAATTGTTTTGGACGGTCCCGGGTTGTTTTTTCCGTCCCGAGTTGTTTTTCCGTCCCGGTAATGCTTCAAGGGATCTCCCGCCAATGCTGTGTACCCCACCTTGCAAATCAGGGTCCCAATCAATCACTAGTGATCCATGCATTGAGATATGTCTCATATCAACATGTCAATCAAGTGTGCGTGAAGGAACTGGGCCATGACATTCATCCGAGTAATGGTCCGATCACTGACGTCCGTGCCATACGTGCTACACCAGTTTTCCAACCTTGGGGCCATCAGGGTCCTGATGGCAGGTGGGTACCGACGCTGCAGACATTTGTAGGTATTGGCCTGGACCTCAAGGATCTCTTTACGAGAAAATTGGGAATGGTAGTCACCTCCTTCCTAATTCCAGTGCGGTAGGAGAAGATGGAAGCCTGGCAAAAAGGGCCCCCGTCTCATACGCGACCACATTATCGCCCTCGGGGTCCTCCAAAAACCACTCTTGAGGCAGACACGATACGCAGCGGTTTCACTATGAAGTTCTAGCGACCGAGGTTCCAATTCGAGGCCCAGCTGCTTCAGGTTTCGGGGGATCGGTCTCGAGATGTCGAGATGGCGCTGGAGGAGCCCCTGGCCAGCCCCTGGAGACACGTGTACTCCGTGCGCAGAGCGAGCACCGATGGAGGGTGCACCTGGCAGACGTGTCCGGGAACAAAAGCAAGAGGAGGAGGAGGAGGAGGAGGAAGAGGAGGAGGGGGGAGGAGGAGGAGGAGGAGGAGGAGGAGGAGGAGGAGGGGGAGGAGGAGGAAGAGGAGGAGGAGGAGGAGGAGGAGGTGGAGGAGGAGGAGGAGGAGGAGGAGGAAGCAGAACGTGCCATACATACAGATGTTTCGGGCGAGCGAGAAGGCCAGGCCGTGGAGCTGCGCGCAGCACAGGGCCAGCGATGCCGACGGGCCTTGCCGGGAGAGCGCAGGCGCCCCCCAGGCCCGCAAATATGCCTGGACACTTGCCGCTGCTGCGGACCTTGAATGGGCCGATTCTTTCACGCCATGCCTCCCGCATCCTGCCCGAACCCGGATGATGTCAAAGCCCCATGGGGAGAATCACTTGAATTCTAGCAGGGTGCAATCAGGAGGCCAGTCCCAGGGGCGCATTCGCGAAGCACCTTGACATTCGATGGCCGCGTCAAGTATATAGGCAGAATGCAACTAAATCGTCGGACGGGGCGAAACTCGGCCCAGCGCGTAAGCTGGTGTGGAGGGCCCACGCAGATGGCAAAGGGCACTCCCGAGGAAGGGCACCCCTGCTTAATCCCCCGCTCCATAATGTAGCATTGAGGTTGCCCGACGGACATGTATGTATGTCCGAACATCACCATACAGAACAAATATAGCATGACGAACATGTGAGGGGATCCCCATCTTTCTTGGTTGGCACTGTCACAAGCCAAGCTTGGGCAACCTCGGGAAGGCAGCCGCGATGTCAGAAAGACACGGCCCAGAACCTCGAAGCCCCTCCAAGTCACTCGCAATAGCGATGCTCGAGTCAAGGCCAATGACGTGGTCACGCCCTCGACGCCAAAACTACCCTTCGCCGCGAGGCGCGTGAGGGGGGCGGTGAGCGCAGCGGCGATGATCTTATTGTCTGCGTTACTGAGCTTAAGCGGCCGCGTAGCGGCCGGTGCCCGAAACTGCGCGCGCTCCCCAGGTGTGTGATCCCCCTCTGGCAGAAACGCGGAAAGCCCGTGGTTGAATCCTGTTGGGAGGTGCCCAAGTCGACGAAGCTGTTTGTAAAGCTGGCAGAGCCCATCCACGAAAGCCCTCTCTCCAGCCCGCCAAGCCGAACACTGGGTCCCATCCAACCCATGGGACGTATAACGTTGCTTCCGAACGAGATCGTGAAATTCAGCTTCAGAGAGTTCCCAAACCTCATCACCCAAGACCTGTTGGATGTGGGGGACCAGTGCCTCAAACCTGCCCTCAGAGACCTCATGCGCCTTGCCGATGGTGGCCCAGTGCTCAGCCAGGGCCTTTGCGGAGTCCTCGGGGGAGCTGTAGGAAGTCCCGTGCTTGTCAGAAATGGAGTGGAAGTAGACATGTCTGTATCTCGGAGCCTACGCCGAGGCCAGCTCACGAAGCCTAGCGCGTAGGGCTTCCTTCGCGCCTGGGTGAAGAGAAGAGTCCCGAGCGGCTTTCTGTCCTTCACAGTGGAGCCTTTGCACGCGTCATAACAGCAAACTCTGCATGAGACCGTTCATCGTCGTGCCATTGCATGGCATCAGGGTCATAGTATTCGAGTAGCTGCGGATCGGCGCGACAGGCACGGCGTGTAATACGAGGATGCACTTGCCGGCGTGTTCGATTGCGCGCTAACATCCACGCGCATTTTTTCTTCAGGTGATGACGGTAATTTGAGCTCCGCGCGATATCGAACTCGACGGGCGGCCTCAAACATCATCTCCTTAAGGTCCTGAATCCGCACGGCGGCGTCAGGGTCGACATCGAGCTCATTGTTCAGGTTTTCGAGGTCCTCCTTGAAGTGCGGAGACTGGATTGCCCACTTCTGGAGAACCTGCCTCGCCGTGGATGAGGATGGGGCCGCGAGTTTCAAGAACACCGCGGTATGATCACTGGCCAGGGAGCCAACAAGCATGTTCCAAACAACCCCAGAGACGGGGCGAAAGTCGATGAGGCCCATGGTAGGAACCTAGATAGGTTCTGTCAAACCTCTCCGGAAGGAAAAAAACATCCTCCCCTGCAAAGCTTCGTGTGTCGGATCATGCTGTTGTACCTCAATCAGGCGAGGGCAATGAGCATGGAAGTGGCGCGCAATGTGCCCAGCGGAGAGGCGAAATGTGCCCGTCTCGCAAGCGAATCCTCCCTTCTCCTTCCTCGCAGAAATCAAAGTCACCGCCTACCACCCACGAGGCCTCCGAATACCATGGACGCGATCTCTCCAGGAGGGTGATATGGCCCATGGAGTCGGTTTGGGGCAGCTCAAGGTCCAAGTGAACGCAGGAAACGACCCACACACCCCAAGGTCCACGACATCTCGCATTCAGAATGCGCCCAGGCACGACGGGGAGGGGGTGGAAATATTTGAAGTGTTGAGCAAGCCGCTCATGCATCAAAATTAGCACCCCGCCAGCGGCCTCCGAGCTCAAGAAGGACCCGAAGATAGAGAACATGGGAAAATGTCATCGAAGCTCCTCAAGGTCACCAGTGCTCCCACAACAGCCTGAAACACACATAATATCGCAACGGCGCATAAGGCACGTCAGAACTGACGTCTTTCGGGATTGAACCTCATGGGAGCCCCAGATACTACGTTATAGCGCTTGAGTATTCCAAGAGGTCACCGAGATCGAGTAAGTAGTAGGCAGAAAAGGAACTTCAGGGTCTCCAGAGACAGCGGATGGTGAGGGGGAGGGAGGGGAGACAGAGGACCTAGGAACATCTGGAGGGCTTGCTGGGGCCTGATAAGGAGGCTGACCAGAGAGATACTTGCACACAACGGAGCCTACTGAGCGATCAGTACTCGTACTCTCGCTCCCCGTCGGCTCAGCGCCAATCCCCCCGCTTGCTGTGCAACCTGGGCCCAGTTCTCGTAGTCGAGTTTCCTGGCGCGTGACCTCTTCCAGCAATTGTGGGCTGCCGAGGGGTCGACCTTTCAGTGCTTGAAGTAGTCCATGTCGGGATCGAAGTTGAAGCCCTGGTGATCAGAGCCACGAATCCAATATAGTTCAAAGGCATCATCTGCAGAGCTGAGATGGATGATACATTCATTTCAGTTCGCTCCAAGACGAAATCTTGCCATGTCCTGGCCGGCGGCCTTGAAGAGCTTGAGGGCGCCTTGCCACACCAGGCTGGCCGCACGCGGTCGCGCTCGAGCGTCTACAGGGAGGTCAGTGCGTTCTCGTACTTCACATGGGAGCTCCTGCGAGATGGGAGCTCCTGCGAGAGCCACGGGAAGAAGGTGTCGTCCCAGTTGGCCTGCCGCTGCGAGTTGGAGAGCGTGGAAGAAAAGGTGGAGGAGGAGGAGGAGGAGGAGGAGGAGGAGGAGGAGGAGGAGGAGGAGGAGAGGGTCGTGTGAGGCATCGGCTACCACCAGCAAGCTTGCCTCCAGCATCGAGGAGGAGACAAGGAGGGAGGAGAACGAAGGCACACTGCGAGCACGCACGCGCCCTCCCCCCCCACTCTCCCCCGCCCCGCGAATTGGTTGTGCGGTCTCCTCCACCAGCCTGTCGACGTCGGCGTCCTGAGCCGACGCATTGGGTGCCCGCTCGGATAGAGGAAAAAGGAAAACGGCAACAACATAAACTGTCGGAGGTCCGCGCGGACGTAGTCGGATCGGCGCTGGACAGCCCGTCCCTGGCGCGCGGGGCGCCCCGCGCGCCAGGAAAGGCGCCCGAGGCGCCGCCAGGGGGGGCCGCACGCCGATCAGAGAAATCCGCGCGGAGCTCCGACAGTGCACAGTGACGGCTTCAGATGAAGAGTCCAAGGCCTGTATGCCAGTGGAAGACCGGAAGATACTTGGCCATGGATATCACCGCCGCCCTCATCAGATAAACAACCTTCCAGGGTCTGGAAGGGCCCCTATTGGAGCCAGCAGGGGCCCAAAAGGGGGACCTGAAGGGCCCCTTTCAGAACAATCTTCTGCCCCCCCCATGTAGGTCACACCCCCGTTACCACCAGGCCGACACATGCCTTAACGAACGGCCCCACCCCCTCCGAAGACGAAGTCAGGACGATGACGAGTTCGGGCGAGGATGAATCGAGCATCTCTCAGACCCAGCGGCTCTGGAAAATGCATCGGGCGCTGTAGCCATCTCGGAACGCACCGGAGCGCTCTGATAGCGTTCCGGAACACTCGGGAACGGATTCATCCTCGTCCTAGCCCGGTCCGAAATGCAGTAGGAGCTCGACCGCAAAAAAACCTGTCACAAGAAGCCCAAAACCCGAGACCCCAGAACGTCAATGGATTGCTGGTGTGCAACGCGACCCTGGGTACTCGAGCAAATGCATCGCGGGGTGAACTGGCAGGGAAGACAGGGGCCACCCGCTCCCCGACCGGGCCCTGGCCCCGCGTCCCAGGGCTTTACTAAGGCAGACCGCGGACTTTACTAAAGCGAGAAATTACTCGAGCGAGGAAGCGGCTTGACAGAAGCGAGGAAACGGCTTCACCAAAGCTAAGAAGCGGCTTTAGTAAAGGCGCGCCGCTCAATGCACTCCGGGGGAAAAAAGAAGACGTTTCACGCAAAGAGGAGGAGAGCTTTAGTAAAGCGGAGAGACGGCTGGGGTAAAACTGCGCACTGAGATTTCGCTCTTCCCATAAAATCTGGCGCGGGACTCCAGGAACGAGGGCGGGGCGCAAGTTCACCCGTGGGCCCGGGCCCTGTCGCCGCCGTCGCCGCGATGTTTGTCGTCGACGCCGTCGCCGTTGCCGCCGTCGCTTCACCGTCGGCGCAGACGCCGCAGTCGTCGTCGCCGTCGTCGTGGTCGTCGTCGCCATGACGCACGCCCGCGCATTCGCGTTCTTACCAACGGCGGTTTGCGCGCGACCGCGAGCGCAATTGCGCTCGCATTTCCGCTCCTTCGACGCGGGCCCAGGCGGACATCGTGTTTTTTCTTCCACCCACAACTTATTTAAAATAATAATGGCACAATTACGCCTCTGAGGACTGGCTGCACGCTTTCCCTGGGGCCGTAGGAGACCCTAGGAGGAGGAGGAAGAGAAGGAGGAAGAGGAGGAGGAGGAGGAAGAGGAGGAGGAGGAGGAGGAGGAGGAAGAGGAGGAGGAGGAGGAAGAGGGTGGGTGGTGAGGAGGGAAAGGGGGAGGGAGGAGGAGGAGGAAGAGGGAGGAGGAAGAGAGGAGGAGGGTAAGGGGGAGGAGGAGGGAGGAGGAGGATGAGGAGGAGGAGGAGGAGGAGAAGGAGGAGGACGGGTCGCCTATCGGAGAAACCCTGCAGGACTGGCAAAGGGGGGGTCTGGCGTAGGGGGGGGAACAAACCCAGACCCCCTTCGGGTGATGAACAAAAAACATGACGGGAGGTTTTTCCAATCTTTCGGCCTCTGGAGGCCCTTGCCGGACCTCGGGCCCGTCGAAAAACGATCCAGGATGGAAAGCCGGTCCCAGGGAAGGGGTCGAGATCTCTGAAGGTCGACGTCGTGAAAAGTCATGACGTCTGGGGTCTGGGACAAAGAGTTGGGGACTGGCCTACGGAGGGGGAACATCGACAAGAAATCGGTGATACCTCTCCATGGATCGGCGAGCGGTCCCTGATGGTGAATCCGCACGTTCCTGGGCAGGCTGGGGTCATCGTGCCCCTATCGGCGATCAATGAGCGATTGGGGGTCGATGCGCCCCCCCTCCCGTAATGGGCCCTGGAAACGGCGGGGCCGTTTTTTTACCGGTTCCGTTTTGCCGTTTTTGTTGCCCCTTCCGACGCCGTTGTTTTACAGGTTCCGTCGCCGTTGTTTGACCGGTTCCGGCTCCGGTTCCAATCCTCGAGCCGTTTTTTTGCCGTTTCCGGTCGCCGTTTTTTTGCCGTTTCCATTTTCAAGGGACACTTTTGTGGAAACGGTGAAAAAACTGCGCTGCCGTTTCCGGGGCCCACAAAGCCTCCCCCCTGTGTCTTTCCCCGCCCTGCCGTTGCCCGCGACGTCACCTGCCCTCGCTGGCAGCATCACCAGTGCGGTCGGTCTGCGGGGCCCGCCGCCCAGAACGACGTCCCCTCCGCGCGGCGCCTGCGGACCCTGCGCCTGCTCGTCCCGTGTGACGCCCCCCGCCGCGGGCCTATAGGCAGTGGCGCCGCGGTGGCGCCATCGGGGCCCGTTGAGGGCCCCGAGAGCCCAAAGACGGCGAAAAGCCTCAGGACCCGTGTCCCCCATGGCGACTGCCGTCTTTTTCGAGTAGGGGGTCGACTGCAGAATTGGTTTACCCCATGCTTGATTTCATCGTCGAATGTAAGAAAATAGACCGAATGCTCGTAGAACGTTCCACGCGCTTTACATGTATCCGATGAGACACTTCTGTAGTCGATCCCCTTGGCACATGCTGCAAACCAAGATGTTCACACGCCTTCTATGGAGTAGCGGCCAGTCGGAAGAGGCAGGTCGACACATGAAAGTAACAAGGCGGCTAAAATAGGCTGGGTTCGGGCCCGCCCAAGACGGATATCCAAACCGGCAAAAGCAATTATACCGACCCGTGAGGTGGGAAGGCGCTTGAAAAGGGCTGGGATCCCAAACCCCCGACGTGTTTTTTTTATGACGTCGACCCCAAAGGCCTGGACCCCTCCCCTGGGACCGGTTTTTCAACCTGAATCGTTGTTTGATGTTCCCGGGGCTCCGTGAGGGCCCCTGGAGGCCGAAAATACAGAAAACCTCCCGTCGTGTTTTGTTCGCAACGCGAGGGTGTCTGGATTCAAGGACTCCAGAAATGCCAACTTCCAACGACCGACGTGTACAAATGCCCCCACCAGCCAAGAATTCGGAACTCGGAACTCGGAAGTCCGCACAAAGACGCCAGAGGGCATCGTTGCCGGAGGTGCTCCCCACGCTGAAGACGCCATGCAGACCGAAGCCGCCCACGTGGAGTGGGCTGTGTAGGTGAGGGAAAACAAAGATAAGTTGTGGGCATAAGGAGCCAATAACGAAGACACTTGATATCCACGCCTTGATAGCACCCGCCCTCGACCCCAAACGTCAATTTTGTTCATAACGTCGACCTTCAGAGGTCTCGACCCACCTCCCGAGACCAATTGTCCAACCTGAGTCGTCTTGTGACGGTCCCGAAGGCCAGCAAGGCCCCCCGAAAGGCTGGAAATTTGGAAAAACCTCCCGTCATGATTTGTTCATTGCCCGAAGGGGTCTTGGGCGACAGGTCTTAAGCTGGGCGTGTCCTGCCCCCCAAAGGGGGATTTTCGACGAAAAATGAAAATACACAAAAAATATTCCCAAATGGTCAAAAAATACTCAAACAATAGTTTCCAGACTATTTTTTACTCTTTTTGAATATTCCCGCTGTGGAGGGACAGGCCCAACTTAAGACAGGTGTTAAACAATCCTCCCCCCCACCCCAACCGCCCGGGAGAGAGAGGAGGGACCGAGGCGCGGATCTTCCCTGGCTCGCGGAGCGCACCAGGGGCAGCGCCGGAGGCGCCGCCGTGAGGGCCCAGCGCGGATCCAAGAGATCCGCGCGGAGCGCCACAAGTTTATGTTTATGCAGTTTTGTTTCGTCGGCCAAGTGATACCAAAACCAGCAGAAGCAGTTACGTAAGCCGGTACTTGAGTTGGTGAGGCGCTTGAATAGGGGCACCAAATGAAAACTCGGAGGTCCGCGCAGATTTCTTGGATCCGCGCTGGACCCCCCTCACTGGCGCGCAGAGCACGCCAAGGGCGGCGCCAGAGGCGCCGCCAGGGGGCCCCAGCGCCGATCCGAGAAATCCGCGCGGGCCTTCGAGCTTTGATGTGTATGTCATTGTTCGTTCCCCTGTTGAAGTAGATTTGGATCTGGGACTCCAGAGAGGCATCTCTCCAGCGACTGGCGTGTCTCGATGCCCCCACCGGCCAGGAGAGAGAGAGAGAGAGAGAGAGAGAGAGAGAGAGAGAGGCTGGGACCCCGGCCGGGGGGGCGCGGCGCCTCGGCGGGCGTGGGGGCCTCCTCCTGCCGGGGCGGGGGGGGGGGGGGGGGAAGGGCAGAATAAGAGAGACTGCCAGAGGCCCCTGTCACGGGAGGCCCCCCCGGGATGGGGTCGGAGCAGACGGGGTCGGAGGATCGCGCCGCATGGGCGATGCATCGGCGATGCAGCGGCGATGTCCGCGTGAAAGAAATCGGGCTCCGCATCGAGCCGCATCGGCGATGCATCGGCGATGCGGCGCGATCCTCCGACCCCATCTACTCGGACCCCATCTGGGAGGCCTAGAGTCGCACCACTGCGGTGGACCCGTACGTGACAAGCGAAGACCACACGCACCCTCACCCCTAGGGGGGGCGGAGCCAGACCCCCTCGGGGAATGAACAAATAATGGCGGGAGGTTTTTCCTGATGTTCGGCCTCTGGAGGCCCTTGCCGGCTCGCGGGACCGTCCAACAACGACTCAGGATGGAAAGCCGGTCCCAGGGAAGGGGTCGCGACCTCTGAGGGTCGACGTCAGTAAAAAATCATGACGTCGAGGGTCTGGGGAGGGGGCTACGAGTGCGTGCTTTCGGATGGGGGTCCCCGTTCGAACGGGAGCCTGCCCCAGGGCCCGACAACCCGCAACCCTGCCCATAGCCAGTCCTCCTCCCTCCGACCCTCCTATGGGTAAGGGTGTGTGTTGTTCGCTCGTCAGTAAGTGAAGCGGGCGGGGTTGCAGCGCACTTGGCTCAGCATGCGCCCCACTCCGATCTGATCCGACATGGTCCCACCCGATTCGATCCAATCCGATCCGAGCCGATCCGATCCGGTCCAATCAGAGCCGATCCGACACGCACCGATCCGATCGGATCGGATGCAGCCGGGCGCTTCTGGGCGCTTCTTTGGGGACTCTCTCAGATAGGAAAGCTACCGCTGTGCCCCCGAAAGGATGGGAGGGGGGGCGAAGGGGGCGGGCGAATGCGCGAGGGAGAGCCAGACCCCCGACGCCTTGGTTTTTCCATAACGTCGACCCTCGGAAGTCTCGACCCCTTCCCCTGGACCAATGTTTCCATCCCGGATCGTTGTGATGACCGCCCCCAGGGCCGGTGAGGGCCTCCAGGGGCCGTTGACATCCAGAAAAACCTCCAGTCACGATTGTTGCCATGCTCCACTGCCCGAGGGGGTTCTGGGGAAGCAGGGGAGAAGACGAGGGTGGGAGGGCGCCAAAGATGCACCCTGGCTGCTCGGGCAGCTTGGTCGACCGCTCGAACGCAGCCGTCTGGGAGAGCCGCACCCTCTTCCCTCCTCGCCCGCCTCCTCGCCCGCCTCCTCCTCCTGCTCCTCCTCCTCCATCGCCGATCCTGGCTGCAGGACGATCCGGGGCCCAGGATCGGCGACGTAGGCCTCCAGGCCGAGGCGGCGGGGTGGGTGGGGGGGGTCAACACCCACATCGGGCGGTGGATCGTCCTGGCCAGGATCGGTACAGGTGTGTACTCAGACCCCCTCGCATGGTGAACAAACGAATCACGACGGGTGGCTTTTCGCTATTGCTGGCCTCCGTGGGCCCTTACCGGGCCCCAGGACCGTCCAGAGCCGACTCATGACGACAAGCAGGTCCTCCCCATCCTCCCCTCTCCTCCGACCTACCTATGGTAGTGGTGGTGGGACATTTGCCCATCACCCACACCTATCACCGCCCCGTGAAGTCGGGAGCGGCCAAGAGGGGGGTGTCCAAAAGGAGGGGTGCAAATCATGACCGGCAGCATGTGCGCGGCCCAGCGGGGGGGCCAGGGACGTAATGAAATAAGAAGAGGCGCCATGACATCTGGGGAAACATCATGGCCCCCGCCATGATATCCACCCCACCCCATTCATCACCCCCGCTCTTCTCCGCCCCCGAAGAACAGCCGTCCCCCTCCGCTGGGCCGGGACGGGGTGGGGCGGGGCGGGCGCGGCGGCGCGGCCTTCGCCCGCTGCGGCGCCAGCCGCTCCACTGCGGCGGCCGCCGCGCGGCAGGCGCTGCGCACCTGCACCCGCCGCAAGAATCCGCGCGGCAGGCGTCTCGCGCGCGAGCAGGAGGAGGGGAGCGAGAGGAGGAGGAGGAGGAGGAGGAGGAGGAGGAGGAGGAGAAAGAGGAGGAGGAGGAGGAGGAGGAGGAGGAGGAGGAGGAGGAGGAGGAGGAGGAGGAGGAGGAGGAGGAGGAGGGGCAGGAAGAAGGGAGGAGCGAGAGGGAGGGGGAGGAGGAGGAGGAGGAGAGGGGGAGCAGGAGGGGGAGGAGGCGGAGACGGAAGAAGAGAAAGAGGAGGAGGAGGAGGAGGAGGAGGAGGAGGAGGAGGAGGAGGAGGAGGGCGACGACGACGACAAAAAGGAGGAGGAGGAAGAGGGGGAGGAGAAGGAGGAGGAGGATGATGTGGATGAGGTGGAGAGGAGGAGGAGGAGGAGGAGGAGGAGGAGGAGGAGGAGGAGGAGGAGGAGGAGGAAGATGTGGAGGAGGAGAAGGAGGAGGTGGTCGAGGAAAAGGAGGAAGAGGGGGAGCGAGATGGAGGGGGGGGGACCATTTGGCCAATTCCAGAACATGTGAGCACAAAAAGGTTGTCATGTCTAGGCGCATCTTTTACTTCCGCCACCTTTCGCCAGCTTCCGCCGGCGGAGGCGGCCTCGTTTTACTTCCGCCGACCTTCCGCCGCCCTTCAGCCGCCTTCCGCGGCGGGAGACATGACAACTCCCCCGATCCTCGCAGGCAAGGCCATTTTTGGGACGCCGCATTTGCTTTTGAGCACGACCTCTGCGCTGCATGCTTGCAGCACACAGAAAATGTCAGACTGGTCCGGGGTGGGTTCCCCCGCAATTTCTGTTCCAACTGGCCCAGTTGTACTTGCTGTTGACCGTTCGATGGTCGAAACGAGGGCCCGTACGGGAGGGGGGAAGGAGAGGAGGAGAGAGCGGGAAGGAAGAGGGGGGGATGGAGAGAGGGAGGGAGGGGGAGGCGAGTGTTCCTCGTGGGGCCCAGGACCGCACGCAGCAGACAGACATGCCAAAATGGCGGGCAACCGCCGTGAAAGACACTGGGACAAAAACGCACCTTTCTGGACACCCTGTGCCCGGTGGCTGGGTGCTTCTTCCCTTTGAGCAGGGACCGACCGTCCCGGCATTCCTATGGTCCTACCACGAAATGTTCTTAGAACCCAAGCGTGTTCAAATAACAGAACAATGTTCTTAGAAAATAAACCCGATGATATAAAACAAGACATACTCCGCCAGACATGTTCTAAGAACATTTCTTGGAAGCTACAAGAGGTTCTTAGAACATTGTTTGGTAGGGCTATAGGCGAGCCAAGACGCTTCGCCACTGCTTGACTTTTCCGGACAACCTGTGCCCGGTGGCTGGGTGCTCCTTCCCTGGGCGCCGCGGCCTCCGCGGAAAGGCCCTTCTTGCCACTGCGGCGGCCTCCTCCCCCTGCCGGCCTGCGGGCAGCGACCGCCTCCACCTCGGGTGTCGAGACAAGGCGCGCGCCCGCACGAGAGGAGGCAGGGCGCAGTATAGAGGAAAGGGAACTATGCACATACACCGATTCTGACCAGGCCAATCCTGAGCCCAGGATCGGTGCATACGCCCTCCTGCATTGGCCAGAAAGACGCATGCACCGATTCTGGGCCCAGGATGGGCCTGGCCAGGACTGGTGTATGTGCATGGTTCTCTTCGCCCGAACAGTAGGGGTCCGACCACAGGGAACATTTTCAAAAGAAGCCCAACCCTGAGACCCCAGGACGTCCACAAATGTTTGGTGTGGGAGTGTCACGCCCTCCATCGCACAGTCATCGAGACCCAAGAAACCCAGAGCACCCCGGAGGCCAGCAGGCTGTTTCTTGGCAGGGGTCTACACGGTAAGTCCCGGCCGCCTGCAGTAGCACAACCGTGGCCGAGGCGCCAAGCAGCAGCACAACCTTTTGGGCCGCTGCAGGGCCACATCAGGGGCCCTAAAGGGCCCCTCTTCGGCGGCCCTCGCTGCCCCCCCTCCCATGTGTCGCCCCCCGTTACGCGCCCCCCAGGGGTGAGCCCGCGCCAGCAGCAACACAACCTTGGCCGCGCCAGCACCGGCAGCGACGGCATCCTCGGATCTGCTGCCACGGGGATGCAGGCCTCGGCGGTGTGCCTGGCCCGACCGCGCCGATGGCGCGGGCCGTGCTCTGATGTCCAAGCCCTAGCGCCAGGCAGGCGGCAGCGAGTGCGGCGCGGTTCGGCCCTGTTGAAAATGCACGGAGGGCTGGGCCGTCGACCACTGTCTCCGCATCGCGAGTGAGCTCGCATGAGTGACCAAAGGGCAGCGGCCCTCCCGCGGCCCCCTGGAGGACAGGGTCAAGCTCCAAGGAGGGGGCTGACGGGCCAGGCTGAGCAACAATACAATGTGGCCATCACGAAGGATTGTCGGGTCCCGCCGACCTGGCAGTGGTAATCCCTGCCTCCGAGACATGTTCCTGCCAGGAGCAGGCTACATGCGGGTCCCGACAGCACACCTGACAGCACACTTCCTGTGGACTAGGAGGTCGGGAACGCCGAAAAACGCCGCCGAGGCACGCCCCATAGACGCGTTCCGACCCCCCGTCAACAGAAAAAGGGCTCCACAACTAAAACGCAGAATTCGAAAAAGGCGCGGGCGCGGCGTGAAACGAATCCACCAAATACTCCATCCACGCCGCGCGAGAGAGCCCCCCTGCTGCGAATGCTGAGATGCCAGGCGCACCACGGCCCGGCCCCGCCGCCACAGCGTGCCGCGGCCGCGCGCGGCGTAGGCCCACCCGGAAGCTGCGGTGCAAGGGGTGGCGCGCAGCACGACTGCCCGACGCGCCGCCATTGTTGCCCATATAATGCGGCTAACACAGGCGCAGCCGAGCGCAGCACTGCGCGAAGTGGCCTCCGCCAACGGGCGGGGCCACATCCCCGCATGCAACGTCGTCGCGGCGAGAACCCTCGCGCGGCCCGGGCGGGTTGGAAGCGCGGTTGGGGAAGGCGCCTGCCTCAATGGCCCGTCCACGAGAATGTGCCACGCGGGGACCGGGCAATGCTCCACGTGGGAAATGCCTCAGTGCTCGTGGAGCGGGCAATGGGCCACGCGGGGAAGGCGCCACAACAAAAACAACCACTGCAACAAAAAGGCGCGGAAACAAATCTGCCACAAACGCTGCCACGCAACTGCGCCGCAACAATGCGCTGCGCGCGTTGTAACGCCTGCTTTCTCGTTGTCAACACAATGGCCGCGCACCTGCGTCGCAAAAGCCGAGCAGCAAAGCATGGCAGCGCAAGGAACAAAAACCTCACCAAAACGCAGCACCAATAGGGGGCGGTCGACTATCGCCGCGGGCGTGCCCGCACATGGAAAACCACTGTGCTGTTTTTTGTGGAGCTTGTCTGCGGCCCTGTACGCGGCGAGTGCGGTTTGGTTGTTGCTCCCCAGTCGGCGCGCGATTGCGAGCGCTGGTTGGGGTCCTTGTCGGCTTACTCTTGTAAGCGCCTTGTGAGGCTTTCTTTTTGGGACACCTACTGCCTGCGCCGGCGACTCCAGGGGCGCCGACGGGTCAACTGCCCAGCTTTGGCCACCTGCCCTCGATGTCTGGAGCTGAGGCTGGGTAGTCGCCGAAGCCAATCTGGCACCAATCTGGCAGGCCCAATCTGGCTAACGGGGGCAATCAGGCGAGGGAGCCATCGCGAATCCAGTCTGGCGAATAACCGAAATCCTCCAATTTGGCCAGGCCAGATTGGCCCTTGGGGCCCAATCCAATCTGCCAGTCTGGCCTTCGACTACGCAGTGAGGTGGGCCAGCTTGGAATGGCGTAGCTGGGCCGTGACCCAATCAAAAAACTCGTTGCTCAGCTGGGCGTTGCACGCCGCTCGCTACAACAACAAAAACGGAACCGCTGGTGGATGACCCTCACAAGGAACCCGCCTGCCACGCAACATCGTACAGAAGGCTTGGCATCGCCCTCTTCCGCCTCTGCTTGTTTCTCTGCCCCCCCCAACCGCGTCTCTGACCCAGCCGCGCCCTCGTCATCGAGCATCCGATCCACGCCTCCAAGCCCCCGCGCATCTCGGGAGGAGCCCCCGACCAATGCCGCGGACATGCGCGGTCCCGACTACTCGAATAACTGCCCTGCGCAGTCGCCTTCCCTGCGTGCCCCGCTCATTCTTGCTGGCAGGCTCGCGGGCGCAATCATTTGCACTTCCTGTATGAACTCTTCGTCGGAATCCTTTGCGGTATGCTTTTGCGTTGCTGCTGCTGACATCACGCTGCATTGATCTTGGCGAATGTAGGACACCTACAGTCGCGTCAGTCTGCTGTCCAGCAGGAGCCTGAAACACGTGCATGGAGCCGGTGCGTCCATCGTCCCCCAAGCTTCTTGGATCGCCGAAGTCGTCAAGGTCATTGGGAACTCTCGCAGAAGGAGCCCCGGATGGCAGTGGCGAGCCTCGGCTCGTGCATCCTCTGAACTCCTTCCTTCGACAACTTGTTTGAAGGCAGAGCGGAAATGTGCGAAGGTCAATGACACATCCCCGCCCGCCACGTCGAACCGAAAAAACTACCGCTTTCCACCCTATACTGTTGAGGCCCAGGAGCATACGACGCATCGGTGCTCTGGATTTCCATCCCGAGGGCCCCAGGTCAAGCTCTTGCTTCAGAATCGTGTCTCTCCAAATCGAACTGCGCCGTTTGAAGGAGAAGAACGAAGTAAGCGGCTGAGCGAAGGAACGCCAGAGACTCCTTCACCGCGAAGGGTCTTTAATGCAGACCCTCTTGGTAATGGGACATACGTGAGTATTTGTGGAGCGGGCTGATTCATGGATTGGGGCCGAAAGCAATATTGAGACAATCATCCCTCTCTCGCGGCGGCCACTGCTGTGGCCTCCGCCGTCTTCAGGGATCTCTAGGAATCCGAAAGAGTTCATAGGAATCCCAAGACTCCCTCGGATTCCCAGGGATACCGAGGAATCCCAAGGGGATTCTTGGAGTCCTGAGGAGTCCTACGGATCCCTAGGAGTCAATCATCCATGGGAGTCCCTAGGGCAGCTTCGGAATCCCTGGGAATCCCTAGGGGAGGGGGGCAAGGAGGGAGGGACGGCTATTCCCAGCCGGGAGCTTAACGTGGGGCATCATTAAAGACCGTTCGCGGTTACAGTCGGCCCGTATCAGACGGATGCAAGATCAGGATGCAAGGGCCTTGAACGCCCATTTCTAAGGAGCGGAGCGCGGCCACCGAAAGTGGCCAGGGATGGGCCGCGGAGGCAAGGATGCTGGGTCGCCGTGCAGCGCGAGCTTCGCAGCGAGCGATGTGCGCCTCTGTGGGGCCGGCGAGGCGTGCGCTCAGGAAGGCTCGGAGCTCCGCATCGGACGCGCCCAGGGAGCGTCGTGCTGTACCCCGCCGCCGGGTACGGCACTTGGCAGCGTGCGGCGGCTTGCCGATGGCAGCTCGTGCCGCACCTGAGTTGTAAAACAAACGCTGACTGGAGCGCAAGAGGAAGGAAACGGGCGGCGGGGCATGGACCTGGACAGGGGTTCGAGGCAGATGTCGGCGGCGAGCGAGGAGGGGAAGTGAGAAGGAGAAGGCCTTCCCAGAAGGCTATCGGGAGTCCTCCAGCCATCTGAGAAGGCTCCTGAGCCTTCCCCGAGGACACAGAGCCCCTCTCAGAAGGCGCCGGGGCTTCTGAGAGGCCCCGCCGCCTTCTGAGGAGGCCTTCTCCGTCTCGCTTCCCCCCCTCGCTCGCCGCCGAAGATGGGCTTCCGGCGGATCACGCCGACATCGCCGATGCATCCCCGATGCATCCCCGAGCGCGGCGAGCCTCGGGCTCCACAGCGAGGCGCATCGCCGAGGCGAGGGGGAGGGCCGGAGGGCCCCGAGGGCGGCCCGAGGGCGGCGCGGCGCCCCCGCGCCTCCTCGCCGACCACGCCGTCGAACTGGCTCGGCAGCTGCCCCAGCTTCGTGGTGAGCCTGCGCAGCGGTGCCCGGGCGCTGCTGCTGCACAGGTGCTGCAGGCACACCGTGCCTCGGCACGGCCCGGTGGCTCGGGTGCTTTGAACCATCGATGCCTACCTCGCGCAGCCTCCTGCCGGTGCCGAGGCGTCGCCAGCTCGATGCCCAGGGATCTCCAGGTCGATGCCTAGGCATGGGCTACGCCCAGCTACGTCCATGGACGCGTCCCTCGATGCATGCGTGGGCATGCCCATGCGGATGACTAGGCATCCGAAGCATCGACACGGCCATCCCTGGGCATGCTACGATGATGCGTAGGCATCAAGGCTGGGGGGTTCGAAGTGATGGCTGGTAGCAAAGCGATCGGGCCGACCCAAACCATGCCATCCGGTGCAAGCGTTGGGTCGGGCATGTCCTCCTGCAGACGGACTTTGAAAGAATAACCAAACAATCGTCCAAACAGATTCGGGCATGGTCGCACATAGTAGACGGAACATCGTCCGACTGTTTTTTACTATGATTGCGTACTCCTCCTGGAGAGGGTCAGGGTCGTGCCCGACTTCTCATGCTGCAGTACCGTGCAAACCCGATGCCAAGCGGCACAGAGAGCCCCTCGGAGGGCGCGAGGGCCAGCTTCGCAGGTGCCCGGGCGACGTCGCGGTGGCCGGCCGGATGGGGGGGGCGGGGGGCGGGCACGTCGAGCAGGGGATCGGCTCCAGAGTCGAGGTGCCCCAAGAGTGAGATGCTCGTCGAAGCCACGCAACGAGCAGGCCTTATGCTCGCTCTGCGGGCCATCCACGGACGGCTTGTTTCGTGGCCTCGGCGAGACAGATCAGTTGTGGGTAAATCAACTCTGTAGTCGATCCCCTGTTCGAGCACTGCGCGGCGAGGGGACGAGGCACGGGCGGGCGCTCCGTGCCCTGGTGCTTTTGTCTCTGCCGCCGCGGCGCAGCAACTCGGTGCCCGTGGGCTGCTCAACCTGGCCGCCAGCGCCCCGGAGAGGGCCCCTGCAGGCATCGACCTTACACAGCGTTTGTTCGTCTTCGTTTTGCTCTCGCGTTCCCTCGTCTTGCCGTCAATCAGCCTTCGAGATCGAAGCGAACACGGCCCAGGACAGTGCCGAAACAACGCTTGGGTCGACCCCGGGGCCCGGCCCCTGCCCCCGCGCCCTCCCCGAGCGCGCGCCCCACCCTTGCGCTCTCCTGGGCGTGCCTGGCCCCGCCTGGCCCCGCCTGCCCCCCCCTGCGCTCACGTCACCGCACCGGCCCCGTTCCTGCACCCCTGCCCCTCCAGTCTCCCCCCCCCTTGTGGGCCAAGGCGGTGGGGGACTCACATACAGGGGGGGATGCATCGACCTGGAATCGACGATACGTCGCCGATGGATCGGCGATAGGCCCACGACAGTGAATCCGCACCTTCCTGAGCGGGTTGGGCCCATCAGACCCCTACCGGCGATCAATGGGCGATTGGGGGTAGATGCATCCCCCCTGTGCCTGCCCCCACTCTATCGTTGCCCCTGACCCCTCCCCTCCCGCCTCATCCGGGGGAGAGGGCGGAGGCAGGGAGGGCGAGAGAGGGAAGGGGGGGGCAAGCTGGGCGCGCTCGCGCCGGAGCTGGCGTCCCCTCCCTCCCCTCCGTCCCTTCTCCCTGCGCTGCTCGTTCCTCGCCGCAGACGCGTGTCATGGCCAACCTGGTACTCCACAAAAGACCCCATCATGCCGGACCTGTGGGACTGGTGGGACCTGTAGGATCTGTGGGACCTCTGTGGGACCTTGGAGAAATGCGACACCTGTGGGACCTGTGGGACCTACGGGATCTGTCGGACCTGTGGGACCTGTGCGACATGCGAGACCTGCGTCACCTGTGGGACAGCAGAACCTGGCAGACCTGTGGTACATGTGAGACCTGCGGAACGACCTGCGACAAATGTGGGCCCAGTGTGTCCTGTGGGACCTGTGGCCCTTCGAGACATGCGGGACCTGTGGGACCTGCGAGGCATACCGGATCCAGAGAGGTGGCCCACGCTTGGGCGAGAGCGCCATTCTGAACGACGGGGGCGCGGGGCGCATCGCCGATCCGAAAATGAGGCCCAGGCTGCAGCGAGAGCACCATTTGCAAAACACTGTCAGCAATCATAATGCAAAACAAGCGCTGTAACCTAGCAAAGGATCAAACTTTATGCAGTTGTGAATGCGACAACAGTGCTCAGTGATGATACCATATGCAAAGGTGGAGCTCCCTATGGGCCAAGAAACGCTGTACTGGGTGCGGGCCGCGCATTCGGAATTTGCCACTCGGTCCTTCGGTGAAGCTCCCCATGGGCTACAAAACGCTGTGCTGGGTGGGGGAGACGCACGTGAAGGTTGCCTCTGGGGCCTCTGGTGGAGCCCCCTTTTGGCCACGAAACGCTGCACTGGGTGGTGGAGACGCTTGCGGACTTTTGCCTTGGGGCCTTCGGTGAAGCTCCCTATGGGCCACCAACTGCTGTACTGGCCTGAGGAGACGCATGTGGGCTGTGCCACTGGGGCATTCGGTGAAGCTTCCTATGAGCCGCGAAACGGTGTAATGGGTGTCGGAGACGCATGCGGACGGTGCCACCAGGGCCTTCGGTGGAGCTCCCGATGGCTCACGAAACATTTTCTGGGCGGGGGAGACGCATGCGAACGGTGCCTCTGGGGCCTTCGGTGGAGCGCCCTTTCGGGCCACGAGGCGCATGCGAACGGTGCGACTGAGAGCTTCTGTGGGGCCCCCCATGCGAGGCCAAGAAATGCTGTACTGGGTGGGGGGGTCGCATGCGGACGGTGCCACGGGGCCTTCGGTGGATGTCCCTCTGGGGCCACGAGACGCTGTACTGGGTGGGGGACACGCATGCGGACGGTGCCACTGGGGCGTTCGGTGGAAATCCCCCCCTATGGGGCCACGAAGCGCTGTACTGGGTGGGGCACACACAAGCGGACGATGCCACTGGGGCGTGTGGTGGATCTCCCTATGGGGCCAAGAGGAACTGTTCTGGGTGGGGGAGACGCGTGCGGACGGTGCCACTGGGGCAACTGGTGGAGCCACCGCTAGGGCCACGAAACGCTGCGCTGGGTGTCGGAAACGCATGCGGACGGTGCCACTGTGGCCTTCGGTGGAACTCCCGAGGGGTCCACGAACGTTGGCGTGCCGGACTGTGTCCAGTGGCGCCATGCAAACGCAGCTATTTAGGCCGTCTGGTGGTGATGATGATGATGCTGCTGCTGCTGCTGATGATGATGAGATGCAAAAGGACAGCACCTCTAATCCTGGCCTTGGAGGAGGAGCACACAAAGTACGTGGACGTCGCGCAGGCCCAAGAGATGACAGTTTCACCTGCACCTTAAAAAAACGTGTGTGATGGTAAGAACGCTCAAGGAGGCCGACGTGGGCGGGGCCAACAAAAAGGCGCTGGAGGAGCTCGACCAGAAGATGCAGCGCCTGGGAATCGAGGAACTGGAGATGGAGTTCCAAGTGATTGCGATCGACAAATCATTCGACAGCGACATGTGCAAGCTGAATATTGTGCTGTGACTGAGCCCCCATCGGTCGCTGATCATCAATGCTCTGAAGCAGTCGGAGTTCCTCCACTCGTACGCACCCGCGCCTCCTGGGTATATTGAGCGCCAGCTGTCGACGTGGATCCAGGAGGTGGGCAGCTAGGATCGTCGACAACGTGGACGACGGAGCAGCCCACAAAACGCAGGCGGCAACATGATGGGGATGAGCGTATCACCAGTGTGCAGCTTCTGATTGGGAGTGGGAGCCACACTACTGAGCAGCATGGGCAGAATGGTGTGACTATTGATACCGTGGTGGAACAGACTGTGAGTACGGATGCTAGCGATAGTGTGATTACTGATGCTGGCGAGGAACCTAATTATGGTGTGGTGTCTGAGATATTACCTGATGGCCGACCTGCAGGCCCCGAGAAAAAAACGAGCTAGACGTTTCCCCCCTTGAGCCCTCCAAGTCTTGAGCCCTACTCTGAGCCCGTCCCACCGTCTCAAGTTGCCTGGCCTCGTTTTGCCCCGTTCCCGAAGTCCACTCCCCGCCCTAAGTATAGCAAAGAACACAAGAGAACGCTCAAGTTCTATTATAGAAGAATGGGTTGGACATGGGACGGGGGAGTTAGGATGCATAAGTAGTTTCTTCCCCCTTCGTGTCGTCCTCGTCGCTCGCCGTCGTGTTCCGCCCACCGTCGCCGTTCCTCCGCGTGTGTCGTGTCGTCCTCGTCTCCGTCGTCCGTCTCCATTTCTCGTTGCCGCCGCCGCCAGGGAGGACATGCCCCCTGGCGCCGCGTGTGCGACGACATGCAGGCCCGCCCTCCGATGATCAGGGGGGGAGACCTGGGGGGTTGAAACAAGACCCCCGCTCAGGGCCGGTTGAGCTCACCACTTTGTTGGCTTCAGGGATCAGTGTTGCAAGTTGTGGGCGTCTGGCGCATGTCATCCCCATGTGTTAGGCTAGAGGAACTTATTTGGTCATAGCCTGCGTTTCATAGAGAGATAGATAGATGGATATATATATATAGAGAGAGATGGATATTTACATACATATATATAGATAGATGCTGATGCTGATGCTGATGCTGATGCTGACGCTGATGATGATGATGATGATGATGATGATGTTGCTCATGATGATGACGACGATTACGAAGAACATGGTGGCGGTGATGACGATGATGATGATAATGAGTATGATGATGCTGCTGATGATGATGATGCTACTGCTGATGAGGTTTATGATGATGACGATGATGCTGATGAGCACGATGATGGTGATGACGCTGCTTGTGATCGTGCTGCTGATGATATGGCGATGCTGATGATGATAGGGGTGCTGCTGATGATGATGACGCTGACGAGGATGATCATGTTGGTGATGACGATGCTGCTGATCATGTTGGTGGTGGTTGCGCTAGTGAAAGTGACGAGTACGATGGTGATGATGAGAAGGATGGTGATGATGCTGATGGTCTCGCTGATACGGGTGAGGGAGATGACGACGACGACAATGGCGATGATGATGCAGATGAACATGACGAGTATGATGATGCTGATGATGACATGAATGACTATGCTGTTGTTGGTGATGACGATAATGGTGATGATGTCAACGCTGATGGCCATGTTGCGTTCGTTGTTGTTGCCGATGTTGTTGATGCTGGTGATGTTGATGTTGATGCTGATGGTGGTGATGTCGGCGATGATGATGCATGCTGATGATGTTGACGATGGCGACGCCGATAGTGATGGTGATGGTGATGATACTACTGATGGTGGTGATGAGGCTGGTACTGATGCTGACGCTGATGCTGGTGCTGCAGCTGATGATGCTGATGCTAATGATGATGATGATGATGATGATGATGATGCTGATGCTGATGATGATGATGATGATGATGCTGATGCTGCTGCTGCTGCTGATGATGGTGATGATGGTGATGATGAGAATCATAGTACCATTATTATTATTATTGTGGTGGTGGTGGTGGTGGTTATGAGGAGGGGGAGGAGGAGGAGGCGGAGGAGGAGAAGGAGGAGGAGGAGAAGGAGGACATGCGGAGTTCGAAGGGCAAAGGCAGGGAAGGGAGGAGGGATGAGCGGGAGGAGGAGGCGGGAGGGATCGACGCGGAGCGCTGTCTCTTCGAAAGGAGGGCCCACCACAGGATGGTTGGGAAATATATGGGAAACCAGTTCGACCAAAGCCTGTGCGTAAAAAACGAGACGAGCCTGGGGGGAGGCGGGACATCTTCTAGACAGGGTCAGGGGGGAGAGGAGAGACGTATTCATGTTGTTGTTTCTGGAAGGGAAGGGAGGGCAGGGCCTGCAGGGGAGGGGTGGAGGGGGGGGCGAGCGAGGAGAAAGACACCTGAAGAATTTCTTCCTCGACCGCCTTCTGTTGGGAAGCGATTGGGCTGAATTCGCCTGGCCGCCTCAGGGGGCCCTCGTCCTCCTTCCTGCTCCTTCCCGTTGCATCTCCTCCTCTGCCCTGCGCTCTGCCCTCCTTGTCCCTCTCTCCCGTTGCATCCTCCTCCTCTGCCCTCCTCCTCCCTGCTCTCCTTTGCATCTCCTCGTCCCTCTCCCTCCTCTGCCCTGCGCTCTGCCTGCTGGGGGGGGTGGGGGCAGGCGTGGCGGGTGTTGCTAGAAGTGCCCCTGGCCCAAGGTGCCCCCAGCTTTTCGCGCCATCTTGGAGCCCCTGGGGTTCTCTGGGCCTCGTGGGGGGTGCCCTGGAGGCCACCTGGGCCAACCCGAGAATCCTGGGGGTGCCTCGGGCCAGGGGCACCTCTGGCAACACCCGAAACAGGGGGGGGGGGACAGGGCAGGGCGGGCAGGAGAGCCCGAAACCGCATCGACACATCGGGATCGGCGATCGAAATGCATCGGATCGGTGGAGGCCGGCAGCCGAGCTGGGCAACAAGAGCGAGCCGGCGGAAGTCGGCAGGCCAGCAAGCCTCCATCGAGACGTCGGAATCGGAGTCCGGAATCGATCCCAATCGGAATCCGGACGGAATCCGGATCGGAATCCCAAGCCGAACCGAATCGGAGTCGGAATCGATCGAGATCGGATCGCATCGCGTCGGGAGAATCGGCATGCGCCCCTGGGGGGCGGGGGAGGGGCAGGGACGGTGTGGCACAGAGGGAGGCTCGCTGCCGCGAGGCCCCAGCTGGCCGCCACCTCCTCCTCCTCCTCCTCCTCCTCCTCCTCCTCCTCCTCCTCTTCCCTCCCTCCCTCCCTCCCTCCCTCCTCCTCCTCCTCCTTCTCCTCCTCCACATCCGTGCTCCTCCACCCCCATGGCTCCCTCCGCCTCCCCTCCGCTTGCCCTCGCTCGGGCGTCCGCTCATCCCCGTGTATTCATGTCGGCGTCGTGCGCCCACGTTGTCGGACGATGCTCCAGAAATTTTCCTCCGTGGACCTCGCCGAGAACAACAAACATGCACGCTTCCCCGAGGGATGCCAAGCCCGCTTCCCCGCCATACTCCCGCGGGGCTGCGCGCGAGCTGGCTTGTTGGTCTGCTCCAGCAGCCGCAGCAGCTTCTCCATGTCGGCGCTGCTCGGCGCTGCGGTCGGCGCGGCGCGATAGGGGGGAGAAACCCTTGGTCCAAGCCGTTGGGACTGGCCCCACACTACTGCGTGGCCCATAGCGGCCCCCATAGGACAACAAAGTGAACTGTCGGTGCCTCCCCGTCTTGCAGCCTCCCTGCCTCACCCGACCGCCCTACTCTTTCAGCTCCAATTCCTTATCATCCTCCCCCTCCCTTCCCTCTCCATCTCTCTCTCCTCGCGCTCGTCCTCGTGCTCAGTTTCGTCCGCATCATGCTGCTGCAACCGCTGATGGGAAGTAATCGAAGCGCCTAGAGCAACACCAGACGTAACACCTGGCGGCGCCTCTGATGGAACAGCCGCGATGCTGCATTCAAAGGTCGAACCGAACGGGACGTAAACGTTCATTGCATTATCAAAGATGCCGTTCCCAAGAGGGCCTCCTGACACGCGACTCCCAACCGCATGTAAGAGCATCAACACTAGACATTGGGCCAACTATGACGGGTACTGTCTGAGCGCGGCGGATGCATATTCCCACGCCGAGACGGGTGGCAGCATGGTCTCATCTTCTCTTGACACCTCCCCCCTTCTCTAGCGGGCGAGAACATGTAACATGCACATTTCTGCGATCAGGGACGCCTGTCCAAGGGCGGCTAGAACATGTCTACCCCCACCTGCCACCGTAGGGGGCAGATGTAAACTTCCCAGCCGCCCTGGGGCATGCGCCCACGATTGTGGAACAGTTCATGTTCTACCGTTCTTCGCATGCGAAGTGTTCCTCCTCCTCCTCCTCCTCCTCCTCCTCCTCCTCCTCCTCCTCCTCCCAGCCAACGACCCTTGTCCCCTGCACTGCACGCCCCCCCGCTTATCGGCCTGCGAGGCGAGACGAGGCCAGCAGAAGAAACTGAGCGCTGCGGGCACGGAGCGCCCTCAGACCTGCTGGCGGGCCGCCTGGCATGCGGCGCGCGTGCTCCTGGCTTCCATCACTGCAACACAGCGAAGGCTACGAAGTACACCTGCAGGCACTGCAAATCACGAAAGCATGGCTGCGCCGCAGCGTAAACGACAGACAGTCGTCGAACCGCACGCGTCCGCATGCAACACTATCCAGATAAGCCTTGAAACAGAAAGGCGAGACCGGCACCCTCGAGGCGAACCGCATGAAGAAGGACGCGCGTGCTCTTGGCGGGGGCGCATGCGCACCTCCTCGAGACTGACGGGGGTCCGCCCCGCTCCCTCCCAGGCGAAAGTGGGGCTGCGCCGAACAGGGTTCCTGGGCAGGGCTCGTAGGCGCGGCGCCGCTGGCTGCGGCTTGAACAGCACGTGCCTCGAAAGCCCTCGACGGTACCCGACTGGAATATTCTTGGGAATGCATGAAGGCAGCCAGGAAGAGGAAATCACATCCAATGAGTTTAGAGTCAAGGGAAGCGAGGGGGAGAGCTGGGACTTGGAAGAGCGCATTGTCGTGAGAGGGCTACGTTGGCAACCATATCCCAACACACTAGGCGTAGGATGTTAACCCAGGGTGACTTCACCTATGGCGGTGCCCCCCCAGGACCCGACACGACAGGAAGCGCCGGCGGGAAGCGGCAAGGAGGGCGAGGCGCCAGGCACCGTGCACCGCGCACCGCGCGGCTGTACCTCCGCGCAAGCGCGCGCCGCCAACTCCGCGGCCCAGGCTGCGAGAGGTTCGGCACCGCGCCCCCGCGCGTGCGCCGGGACATCTCGGCGGCGAGCTCGGCTATGCCTGGGCGATTCCGAACACCCTGAAGCCAACAATGTTTTCATCTCTTGGGGGCGCCCTTGTTACTTCCGCAGCCTTCCGCCGCGGAAGAGATGACAACTCCTTCGATCCTCGAAGGCAAGGCCCTTTTTGGAGCGCCTCACTGGGCTGCGCTTCAAGAGCCTGGGTGGCATGCGACGTCGCCGCCTGGATGGCAGGCTCGGTTGCGTCGCCCTCATCAGCACTCTCTTCGACAGCCACGGCCTGCCCAGCTGATGACGGCCTCGGCCCCATGCTCGGCCAGGCGATGCGTCCATCCTTGGGTCAGGAGCCAATCCCCTCCGTTTCCGAGGCGGCCCGCGAGCACGCAGTCTAGCAGGGCGGACCAGCTTCGGGATCCCAGGCCCGAGCGATGGCAAGCAGGCTGGTCGAGGGCGGCATGGCGCGACAGCTGGCCGCGCCTGGGACTGCCCCGCATGGAGCGAGCGAGCGGCCGCATTCCGCCCAGGAGGGCGGCACCTGTGGGCGCATGGCCAGGCGCGGCCAGCAAAAAAGGGGAAAAACAAAAGAGGACATCATGGGAGGCGTGTGTATATACACCGACCTGTTCGGGCTGTGTATATACACCGACCTGTTCGGGCCGATTTTTGTTTTGAGTGTTGGGCCAAAGCGGTTTTGGCGCAGTGGCCGATAGAGGGAGCAAGCGCCATGCGCCCCGCCTGGGCGCGTTTGTCCAGGGGCGGGCAAGGCCGCAGCGGCCCCGGCACCCATGGCGGAAAACCGCCGCCCATGGTGGTGATGCCGTCTCTAGGCGAGGGGTGCCTCGTTTCGAGGCCATGAATGCGTGCCCGTAGCCGGGCACGCGAGAAAATTTAAACAGGGCCGCACGCTGGCCGGGGAACGCGCGCGGGCCTGCTCGCCAGCACCCCAACCCATCCACCACATTGGGGAGGGGAGGAGTACAAACTCTGGCCCGATTGGAAATGATGCCGCCAAGGGGGTTTGAGCCAAATATGGGCGACGGGCCCGCGTCCCCACGATCACCCTCCCTCCCTTCCCAACTCACCATCGCCCCCCCATTGACCCCGCCACGACCTCGCCTCCGGCCTCCGTCTCCGTTCACAGACTCCTTCCCTCCCCCCCCTGCGTTCCTCCACCCCCCACTGTCCGTTCACCCATCCCCCTCCCCGCTCCCATGCCTTTCGCTCGGAACTCCCCGCTCCCACTCCCGTTCCCTGCGCCCGCCAGCCCCTCCCTTTCCCTCTCACTCCCCACCCGTCTCTGCCCCGATCCCCCCCCCCAATCGCTCCATCCAGGCCCCGTATCCCTGCCGCCCTCTCCGTCCCCTCTAACCCCCTAAAAAACGAAAACGGAGCGTCAAAGTATTGTGATGTGGTTTCCAATCCTACACAAATGGGGCACCACCGCCTGCCGCGGCCTGCCTGTGGCCGGTTCTATCGGTGGCTGGGAGCGAAGCCCCGGGTCACCGGGGCCACAGAAATTCTGGGAGGCTCATAGGGCGAATTCCTATGGCCTGATCGGTGTATAAAATTTCGGCGGGCCGTTCTGCCTGATACATTCCGAATTTTTCGTCGTCCCGAAATTTTATACACCAATCGGGCCTTGGATTTTTCTCCTATAGTTTCCGGATTTTGCATAGTCCCCCGTGGCCATGGAAAGTGGGCGACCGCATGCGGACCCCCCCGCTGGGACTGCAGGTGAAGCTCCACAGGGAGCACAACCTGATTGAAAGGTGCGACGACATAGCCGGGGGGGGGGCCTCCGCGCCAGGGCCGTGCGCGGAGCCGCCATGCGGAGCACGATCTGTTCAAACGCAAGCAGACATTTGCACGATTACGCCATGCGCAAATATGACTGCCCTTACTGGGCTTGTACGCGGCGCTCCTTGTGGGGCGCCATCCGCTTGAAAAGGCGTGCCAAAAACGGGAGCGGAGACGCCATGGGAATTCCAAATGGGGCCACAACTGTATGGGCGCGATCTTCGCGAGGGGCGTGCCGACGCGGGCATGGAGGCGCACTTGGAGCGCCCCCGCGACGGCCGTAGGCGAAATTCCATCAGTGGCGCGAGCCGCGGGAAAGGCGTGCCGCAGTGGTTGCGGATAAGCTTTGGGGGCGCCCCCCTTGAGCCTGCGGGTGGAGCCCATTGCGGGCTGCAGTCCGCGCTGGGGGGCGTGCCGAAATGAGCGCGGAGACACTTTAAGTACGCCCCTGCCAGGATGGTCGATGAAGCTTCATATGGGGCACGATCCGTGCGAGGGGATTACCGAACTGATCACGACGTTCGCAGCAACGGCAGCGGATGGTAACGACGGTCCACCAGCAGCATGCAGCAGGCAACGCAGCGGACGCGGCTGCGAGCGGAGGGGGGCGGGGGGAGGTGGGTAAATGAGGAGGAAGACGCGCGGTGCAGCAGAGGGAAAATGAAGCACATGTAAACGAAAAAGCAATGGAAAACAAGCGGCACCGAAAAAAAAAACTGCTATAAATTCTACACCCGGGGAATGGATTGGTGTATATATACACTCCTCCGATGACTGAAATGCCTTGCGCGGGTCACTCACGGTCACCCCACCTCTTGCGGGGTCGCCGCACCGGTCTCTGCGCGACAGTGCGGAAGAAGGGCTTCCAGTTCAACAACTTCGTGTTCCACTTGCCCCTCGTGTCGCTGGGAGGTCGCAGTGGCAAACTTGTCCTTGTGCTCAGCTTGAATAGCTGCCCAATCCCGCCTTCCGAGATTCCGCATGTACCTCTCACACTCACGCGTTGACCGGACCACGTACTCCACCCACGTCTCCTGGCACCGCCTGGGAACTCGAAATATATTTCGCAGCACTTGCGCCAAGTGGTCAGCAGCCTTCTCCGTGTGTCCTCCTTCATTGTCCAGGCGGCGGACCCGTACAGTGCAGCAGGTGTGACCACCGTATCAAACAGCTTGAGTCTCGACTTTAGAGCGTACCGTCTTGAACATAAAACGTGCTTGAACTTGGCAAAAGCGCCCCATGCCGACGCCATCCGATTGCAGAATTCAGTTTCGTGAAGTTCTCCCAAACAGATAACACGCCCTAGATACTTTTCAGAACCAGACGGCGGAACAACCTCCACGGAACCGTCTCCCATCTTGACGGTTGCGCCCACTCTAACGCCGACGTTAGATAGTACTTTGGTCTTGCCTGGATGCACGATGAGCCCGTTTTGCGCAGCTTCGTGCAAGTGAGATAGCATTGTCCCCGCGTCGCCTTGGCTCTGCGCCAAAAGAAGCACGCCACCTGCAAATCTTAAAAATTCTGCCATGGGTGGTTTGGTTCGGCTATGACGAAACCAAGATACTGCCCGGCATGGGGCGCCAGGAAGAATTGGGGCACCAGGCAAGCGTATCGGGTGGGCGGGGGGTGGGAAGCTCCCCTCCAGATCTCGGACGGCACGTGGTGGAGCGGGACGTCGAAGCTGGACGCCAACGGGAGGCACGTGATGCACCAGCTGCGCAGGCGAGGCGGCGACAGCACCTCCAGAGAGCGAAGGTGGAGGCGCTGCCCTTCAGGACACGGCTTGGCAGCTGGGGAAGCTGAGATCTGAGACCCAGCGCCCCGAAGGGATCGACCCCACGGAGGGAGGCTTTGTTGGACGCTTAGCGTCCACGAGCTCGGCTCGGCTGCACGAGCTCGGGCAGTGGCCGCGGGCGCCGTCCGGTGCATCCGCAGCCCCGACTCGGCAGAGCAGGCCGAGGACGCCCACCGAAACGCGCAGGGGTCCAACAGCAAGAAGCAAGAGCTGCAGAAGAAAGCACGAGGCGTCGATTGCCGCGGAAGGAGAGGGAAGAAAAGGAATAGGTAGAGAAGGAAGAGGAGGAGGAGGAGGAGATCCAAGAAATAATCCGCAACCTCCTGCGACAGGCGGCCCAGGCGGAGCGCAGCGCTGGGGCTCCTTTGGGACCCGTAGTTTTTTACACCACTTGCGGGTCCATCGGCCGCCCTGGGAGTTCGTGGGGTCGGAGCGCTCTCGCGTCGGACTGCCTGGGGTCCCGTTCCCCAGGCCGCGAGAGGCAATTGGCTGGGATTTTGCAAGGCAAACATCCGTCCCGCAAGGAGTGCCGAGTCGGAGCAGCGTGCTCGCTATCCGACGACTCTCGCACCTTCCTGGCCTCGAAATTAGGCCTAGGAGAGGCGCCCGAGCTTGGACCCGGCCCCGCCGTCGAGCGGATCGGGGTCGACCTCATCCGAGGCCTTGCGCTATTCGGGTTCTCCTCCCGCGCTCAGGCCGAAGGGCTTGGGCAGCAGGTCCTTGACAGGAGACAGCGCGAGGAGGCCGAACTCTCGGATGACGGTATTTGATTTGTTTCTTTGATGCATGTTCAATGTGGTGGCACCTTCAGCTGGTGTGGGTCTCCTCCTCCTCCTCCTCCTCCTCCATTTTCCTCCTCCTCCATATTCCTTACCCCTCCTCCTTTTTTTCCCCCTCCTCCTCCACCTCCCGCCCCTTCCCTCCCGCTTTGCCCCCACCCCTCCCCCTCCCCCGTCCCCCCCCCACCCAACCAGCCTTCCCTCGCCCTCCTTCCTAGTCCTATCGCTGCCCCCCATCAAACCGGTCACGGCGAAGCCTGGTCGTGCAGGGGTCGGAACGCCGTTGTCGGCGCCATCTCCGTCTCCACGCGGGAGGGGGGGGGGGGGTCGGGAGGGGATGCGGGGGGGGGAGGGGGGGGGAGGAGGGCGGAGAGGAAAAGAGAGGAGAGGAGAGGAGAAACGGGAGGCAGAACAGGAGAAGTCGGAGGAAAGAGGAGGAGGAGGAGGAGCTGGAGGAGGAGAAGAGGAGGAGGGAGAAGGAGGAGGGTGAAGGACTGGGAAAAGAAGGAGGACAAGCAGGACAAGGAAGACAGGCGATGGAGGAGCAGGGGGGTAATGAGGGGGGACGAGGCGAGAAGCTGGGGAGACAGGAGGACGAGGACCACAAACGGAGGATGAGCAACAGCAGCAGTGTCAAGGTGAGGAGAGGGGGCCACCAGGAAGCAACCAAAGAGGCGAAATTTGGAGGAAGGCACGTTGCTGCAATAATCTGGAGGAGCAGGAGGCAGAGGAGAGGAAGGGCCGGGGGGCGCTGGGTAGCAGCGCCAGGCAGCGACCGTAGGAATGAGGGACAAAACAGGGAGGAGGGAAGAAGACGCTAAGACGAAGTCGAAAGGGACTGCACGCAGCGGAGTAGGAGAATCAATCGTCCACTGACGGTGCATGGGATGACTCTTAGCAACCAGGACGATAGAACTAACCGTGCCCCAATGCGCGCCCAAACCAAAAATAAGACCCACATCAACACCTGATGTGGTCGTTCGCTCGCTCAACACGCCAGCAACTATCTCCTGCAATGGCTGACGCCAGCCCAAGCCTCTCGACCGCTCCATCGCTGAAGCGTTGCGCCGGTCATCGTATCGGGAGCCCAGCCAACCTGACAAACTGACAACCCTGTCACAACTACATGGAGGTAGCAGTCCGCACGCACGATTAGCGTGGTCGATGTCAAGGTCTGGCCAAACATATTTTGGCAGGCCCAAACAAACCAGAGGACGCTAGTATAGGGTAGAATGCCCCTTGCATGTCCGGCAGCGTCCTTTGGTATAATGTCCCTCGCACGTCCGCCCGGGACCCAGAAAGGGTTCCCTAGGATCGGCTCTGCATCATGAGACGCTTTCCGGACATGAGGGTGGCAGAAGAAACAGTGCAAGCGGAAGAAGACAAGCCGAATAGGCGTCAACTTTCGATGCTCGAACGCGAATGCCTTGGATCGCCGCGTGCCCCGCCGCCCCCGAAATAACCTAAATCGAATCGATAAGTCGGATTGGCGATCGACATGAATCGGACCGACGGCAATCGGCAGCCGAGTCGCGCAACAACGGATCGACGGAAATCGGAGTAGCAGTAACTCTCCATTGAGATATCGGAATCCAAATCGGAATCCGAAGTCGATACGGATCGGGGCCGGAAGCCATCGAAGTCGAATCTAAACGAAACCGGAGGAATCGAAGAGAGAACTGCAGTCCTCACCCTGGCGGGCGGAGCGCGCAGCGGGCGGGGTCGGATGCGCCACCTGCGGGGGTGGGGGGGGTGGGGAGGGGGGGGGGGGGGGGCGAGCGCAGACGTCCAAGAACGCTCCGCGCGGAGCTCCGAGAGTGTAGGCGCACGCAAGATGTTCTCCTTCGAGCGGGGCGGAGGAGGAGGGGGAGGAGGAGGAGCGAGAGCCACCTGAGGGGGCGACGGTCTGGTCAGCCGCGCCGCGGCGCGCCTGCCCCCGCCGTCAAACCTGCGATCTGCGGGAAGTTGGAGAGCACGCCGCGCGGCAGCGATGGCGGAGGTCTGCTTGCTGTACGTCATGTGCTGGCTGGGCGTCGTCCTTCGTCAAGTGGCATGCCCTGGTGGCCGCGCTGAGGCGCGCGACCGAGTTCCCGACGCCGTTCTCGCCGTCGAAGGGCTCGGACAAGGCGGGCAGGGCGAGGCGCGCGAGGAGGTTGGCGCTTAGCTGGCCACGCGGCAGGCCCACCTGGTGCCGCGTCCGCTCGGACACGAGGTAGTGCTGGATGCTGTCGCTGCTCTGCGGGCGCGTGCAACCGATGTGGCAGGGGCGTTTGTCCTGAATGTCGTGCATTCTGTGGCTCGTAGTCCACGCGCCCACGAGCCCTTTCACATCGGCCCACGTCCTCGCTGACGGCAAAGTCGCGAGGTAGGTGCGTGGACGCTTCCAACGTGCTGGTAGGTCGGCTGGGACGAGCTGGAGTTGTGGATGGTCAGCTGGCTCGGGTTCGTCTGCTGGTGAGTTTTCGTCGCCCATGTAGTCGTCGTCGGGGCCGGCATCTGAGTCAAGGATGTGGTGCGGCAAGGTGTTGGCGATCCATCGGCGTCTGACTCGGTGCTGTGCGGCTTCATATTTGAACAGTGCGGTCTGGCAACGCGTGTCCTCCCCTCGCGTTGGTTTCTCTCGCGAGACGTCGTTCGAATAGTAGGCGGTCGATGCCGCTGTTGTCCCACGACTGCGCGCGCATGTCGACGGCCATGCGGCGGCGCTGCGTGTCCGCGGCGCACAGCGGAAAGAACAGGTCGGTGCCGAGCAGTTCGTACAGGTACGTTGTGCACCATCGGATCCAGTCATCGCGGTTGTCGGTGTGTCGGTCTCGAAGCAGGATGTCAGGAAGCCAATGAGATGCCCACGCTCGAGCACGCGTGAAAAGGCGCTCTCGTTCACGCTCAGCGTCGCGACGGGGGTCGTTCGGCGGTTCGCGCGTAAGTTGCTTGCCAGGGTCCAGCGCAGGGAGCCAGGCAGGAAAACGACGCTTGATGGTGTCGGGCATGGTGTCGGCGTAGAGCTGCTCGTTTAGCGACATCACGCACGCTCTCTGTGGCGTGATATTGGCAGGCTTGCGACGATAAGGGCGGTCTTGTCGTTGTTGTTGCTGCTGCGCTGGTTGGCGTTGGCGGAAAGCTTGAAGGCGCGCTCGCGCAGCATGCTTGTGCGGTCCAACCATTGCTGCGCGTTCTCGTGGTCGCGGCCAAGCAGTGCGAGCAAGGCGTTTCAGCTGTGAACCTTTACAATCAACGAAGAAGGCGGAGCTGGTGACGCCCTCGAAGCGCTGGACGATGACGGTCTTGATTGCCCAAAAGTCATTGCACCACTGCCCTTGCATCACGGAGATGAGGGGTAACTGGATGTGGGCTTCTTCGCACGACTTCCGATGCGCGCTCCTCCGCTCTGTCACAATGGTAGAAGCGGTTCTCCAGAGAGTAGCTGCCAGGTAGTTCCCGATACCGATTGGGACTTCCACGTTGGTCCAGAGTGACATCGCGAGGGCGCCGGACTGGGCGAGGCTGCATGGGGCGACGCGCAGCAGCTTGTGGATGGCCTGCAGCTCTTCTGGAGGATGCCTTCAGGGGGCCCGAAGAGCTGGCCGACGTAGCCCAGGCATGCGACGGCGGCGACGTTGTAGAGGTTGGTGCTTTGCTGGGCTGGGGCACGTGATGCGGCGAGCCTCTCGACGCGGCCCCGCCGTGCCACTGCGGGTCCACGCCACTGGTCTGCAAGTGGCGCACTAGGGCCGACGCAGAATCCGACGTAGCGGGCCTCGGGCTCGATTTTAAAATTGAGCCAGGGGGCGCTGGCAGCAGCGAGTTCGCGGCGCATCTCAGCGATGATGTCTGGGGTTGGTAGCGTCCAGGTAGGTGCGACGATGCACTTCTTGGCTTGAAGATAGAGACCAGCAAGCGTCTCGGCGGCGATCATGTGCGGGGCGATCGCACTGATGTCGTGGAGTCTGACGAGGATGATGCCTAGGCCGTCGGCGCAGGCGCTAACATGGCCGCGCTCGACTGCCCTGAGCTCGGAGCTGATGACGGCGATGATAGGGCAGAAGACGGGGGCCAAGATGGTGCCACTCAGGGGACAACCTTGAGCTACGCTCGATGCTGCGATGAGCAGCGGGCGTCGCTCTCCTCCAATCTCCAGCAATGAGACCGGCCAGTGGTAGCAGGCCTGGATAAGGCACAGCATGTTCCCGTGGATGTCCCAGCGCGAGAGGGTGTTCCACGTGCACTGATGGCCGAGACTCGGGGGGGCGGCCGCGATGTCCATGCTGGCGAAGACGGGCATGTCTGTGGATGCTGAAAATGATAGACTCAGTTGTCTATCGGCTGCGTCCACCACGACAACGTTGTTCAACAACTGGCGGCCGTTGATAAAGCCCTGCTGCGGGGGAGACGCCTGGGCGAGGGCGCGCGGCGGGCGGCGGGCGCCAGCAACTGCGCGCCCGAGCTCTTCATTGATAGCTGACGAAGGCAACCTGGAGCGCGCGCGCACTCTGCGCTGCCACTCGGATCGTCGCCAGTCGGCGACATTGCCATGAGAGAGTAGTTGAGATCGAGCAGAGATGTTGCTATTGGCGGCGATGTCGTAGCAAACGTCGGCCAGAATGTCGAAGCTGTCAGGCGTGCGTAGCCGCGCCTTGCATGGAAGAGCGCCTGGGCCTGGTGCGGAGTCTCCAGCGAGCCAGGCTGCTTTCTCGAGCGCCCGCGCGCCAGGTGGAGGGAGGTCGGCAGGGCGACGCCGAGCGAAGATGGAGTCGAAGTGCTCGGCGAGGCGCATGACGTCCACGTGCTTCCTCGCAAGTGCCGGGGCCCAGCGCCGCGCCATGGCCTGGTGCATGGCTGCGGGGTCAGTCACTGTGTTGGTCGAGTTGCCGACGATGATTTCAGTGCCCGTCCACGCATGGCGCGATGGCGCCATTTTTTTGCCAGGGGGTGGCTTCATAGGCTGCGTGGGCTGCTCTCGATCGGGCCGTCGCCAGCGCCTTGCGCGCGTCGCTGAGGCGTGCGCGGGCGGCGTCGGCAGCCGCGGAGACGACGTTTACGCCGTTGATGCTCACGGTGCCCTCCACGATCTTCAGGTTGAACCTGCCGGCGTCGGTGTTCTCGATCAGAGTCTTCGCGAGCGGGGCGCCTTGATGGCAGGCGGCTCTGGCGACGCCACGCAGGGTCGCGGCTCGGGCCTCGCGAGATACCGAGGCAGACTGCGACTGCAACCCGGCGGCAGGGATCTCAGTGGGCGTACCACGTGCTCGGGCAGCGGCGACCTGCATGGCTGCTACGAGGGTGCGCCACTTTTGCGATGGGCGCGGGCGCAGTCATATCGATGCTGGCAAGGGTCTTCTTGACGTGGTGCTGGTAGCGTGCTGTGTCTAAGATGTACGCAGGCATGCCGCGCTCGGTGGCAGGTTTGGCCCCCCGCAGGCGGATGCGCAGGTTCGTGATCTCGTGGTCGCTGATGGGGCCCCTGGTGTTCTCGGGCGGCGAGTCGTCGGCGACGTAGATTGTCTCCATGAGAGGCACGAGGTGGCTCGAGAGGTCGATGAAACGCTGGTCGATCGTCGATTCGCTCATGCTGGCTTGGGATTTGTGCGTCGTGGACGAAATAGCAATCTCGATCATCTCGCGGAACGGGTTGGGCCAGCAGACAGGCTGCTACTGGTAACGTTGCGCGGCTGTGGCGTCGGCGCCCACGGGGGTGGTTATCGACTTCGGCGGGAACTCAGAGACGCTGAAGTCACCCACTATGACGAAGAGACGGCGCTGTGGTTGCCCGTCAGCACGAAGCCGAAGTGCATGCCACTGGACGCGGAGATGAAGGCGATCGGCTCGAGTGAAGCTGCAGTCGTGGATGTTGAGGACGGCGACTTCAAACTGGAGGTTGTCATCCGTGATTCGCAGCCAAGCGGCGCGGCCATGGATGACGACTCAACCCTGGTGCGAGGGCGGAGTTCCGGCGGAAGTTGCTGTTCTTTCTTGTTGAACGAAACCGAAGCCGACGCCGCCCGCGCTGGTGGCTGGCTCGCCGTCGACGATCATCGGGGAGTGGCCCGGCTTGCATATGTGCTGCGCGGGGTTGGCCAGGAGGGTGAAGTCGTCAAAAGTGCCATGCGATTCTTGCACTGCAGTGGGAACACGCTGTCGGACGCATGGAAGAAGATGGCGACGCTTATCAGCGCGACGCTGATCTGAATGACCGCGTAGAGCTTGAGTGTTCCAGACAGCGATGTTGAGGCCCCCCTGCGAGGGCGTGAGGAGCCACGGGCTCCGTCGGTGGCTAAAGCCACTGTGCTGCAGAGAGCGCGTCTGCGAAATTGGACTCGAACTCGGACTGGACCCTCCGCTGTAGGGAGTCGTTAAACCCTCGGTCGATGGCAGCGTGAGACCACTGGAGCTTAGTAGGCACGTCAGCGCCGCCACCAAGAATAAGGCGCGCGAAAGCTGCACAACGTTTCGCCACGAAGCCCAATGTTCGGCGTGGACGTTCGTGGATTTCGGGCGTTGCATTTTGCATGATCTTGGCGAGGCGCTTGACCTGGACCTCTGTGCGCGCAGCTTTCGGGCTTTTGTCGGCAGGTCCATAGAGAAGAAGGTGCGAACCATTAGCCATATTGAGGGAAAAGGTCCTCCACTCTTTTCCATTGCGTAACGCAGTGGAAACGCTGTGCTCGAGGCTCCGCAAAAATAATCCCACCGCTGACTTGGAACGAGCGGCGCTTGGCGGGGCCGGCTGTGCTGAAACTGACAATGTCTTTGTTGATCTCGGCTTTCGCGAACAAGGCTGGGAGGGCGCTCGAGCTCGGGCTGGTTGAACTCCTGCGGGCTGCTGCACCAGAACGTGGTGAGGTCAGGGTCGCGGTCCCAGGTGCCCAGTCCGTCCAGGTAGAATGCAGGTGCTCTGGCTTCTGCAGGTGTGACGATGGCTTCCAGCTTGGCGACGGCGGCTTTGAGGTCGGAGTTCTGCTTCTCGAGGATGTGGGTGCGCCCATTGGCTGCGGTGATAGATCATTACGTAGCTTCGTGGCGTTTGCTGAGTTATGCGGTGATCTGCGTGAGATTGGCGAGGAATTTGTTGCTAGCTTGGGTAGTGACGGCTCTGGCGGTGGCTTCGAACTTGTCGGAGGGGTCTCTGCTCTGTGCGGCCATGGCCTCCTCAAGCTGCTGTAGAGCATGAGCGGGTAGGTCGTGCACTGCAAGCTTCGCCGCTCCATCATGCCAGGGGTCCGGCTGTCGTTTGCCACTGTCGTAGTCTTGGCCTGGCTGCAGATGACGCTGGTGTTGCCGCAAGTGGTGGTGCTGGCCTGCTCATGGGAGCAAGCGGAGGCCCGCGCCAGCCTCGGTCGATCGCGCGTGGAGGCTGCTGCAGGCGAAAGCAGAGCCGAATATGAACCTCAACCAGCAGGGCAGCTGGAAGGCGTGGGATTGAAAGCGGGTTATTAGCTCTCCCTGGACCCCGAGTCTCCGTGCTCTGCCACGGGGCGGAATCATCTTGAGCCAAACTGGCTACGGAAGGAGGAGGAGGAGGAGGAGAAAGGGGAGGAGGAGTAAGCAGAAGGAGAAAGAGGAGGAAGAAGGAGGAGGAAGGAGGAGGAGGAGGAGGAGGACGGGTCGCTAAGCCCTTCGGAAGATCCTTCCAGCACGGGGCTCCGTTCTTTCACGGCTTCTTCCGCCAAGCTTTATCCGAGTCTCTGCCCTCTACCGCCGAGCTCCAGCCCAGCGGCCCTGGCCAGGGTGGAGATGCCAACCCCTCGACCCCCCGACAAGGTTATTTTTTCTGGAGCACCTGGCCTCGTCGGTTCGACTCTCGGGCCGCAGCTGGCGCCAGGGCCAATGGATGCGAGCGACAGCCTCCCCTCCTCCTCGTCCCTCCTTTTCCCTCCCTCCTCTGTCTCCTCCTCCTCCTCCTCCTCCTCCTCTTCCTCCTCCTCCTCCTCATCCTCCTCTTTCTCCCTCTCCCCATCATACTTCCATCCTTTTCTTTCCCTCGCCTCCCATTCACATCTGCTACCTCCTCCCTTCCCGCACTCCCCCCGCAGTCGTCCTACCTCCCTGCGTATCTGCTCTCTCTCTTCCCCTCCGTCCCCCCCTGCTCCCCTCTACCTCCTCTCCCTAAATCCGCCCTTCCCCCCTCCCCCGGTCGCCATCTTCTTTCCTCCACCTCGTGCTCGCCCTCCTCATCCTCCTCGCCCTCCTGAATCATACGCGCTCCTCCCCCGCCCCAGGGCACGCATGCGAGGCCCTGCCAGCGAGAACCGAGCCCCTCTGTCCGGCACCTCTCCCAGGATCCTTCCCCAGGATCCTCCCCCTCCTCTGGCGCAGGAGACGTGGGGAGGAGGGCAGACAAGAAGGGAGGATGACGAAGGGGAGGGAGGATGCACGAGGAGGCACGAGGAGGAAGGATGGGGGAGAAGGAGGCGGAAGGACAGGGTGGAGGAGGAGGAGGAGGAGGAGAACGAGGAGGATGATCGCTTCTCCTCCTTGTCCTGTTCCTCCTCCTCTTCCTCTCCCACCCGTTCCTCTCCCCGCTCCCCGTTCTCCCCGTCCTCTTCGCCTTCTCCACCCTCACAATTGTTTTACTGGTCGCCATCATGTCTAACACCTGCCTATCCCTCCGCCGGCTGCGATTATGACTACCTGGAAATATCCCTCAATATCCTCATCCTACTCTTCCTCACTGATCCTCGTCACACGTGCTCATACTCAGTATCCTTGTTCTCCCCCTCGTCGTGCTGTTATGTCCCTTGGTCGTCCGTGTACTCAACCCCCACAGGCGGGGCGAGTCGGACCGATGGGGGACGGCGAGGATGGCCCACCTTCGACGAATGTCTGCGCGTGCAGGAAGGACTCCTGCTGGGCAGCCGGCGGGACAGGGAAAAGCAGGACGAGGAAGGGACGAGGAAAGGGAGGAGGACGACAAAGAGGGTGACGAGGAGGAGGAGCAGGCGGCGGGAGAATGGCGGATGACAAAGGCGCGAAAGGGGACGAACACGAGGAGGATCAGGAGAGTCTCCTGCTCGGCTATCCTCTGCGCCACGAGCATGTCGTCGATGGCGGTCTCGCCGTCGATGACGAGGTCCTCGCCTGTGCCAAACGCAAACCCCAAAGCAGCCGGTCGAGAACTAGCCCCGACTCGAACGCCCAATGATCAGATTAGGGGCGCGGTGACTCGACAAATCGGGTCTACATGGCCATCAGGTGTAGGCGAGGGTTCCGCCTCGATCGGTGGATCAGGGCACGATCCTGCATTTGCGCAAATCCAACAACGATTCCTGACCCCTGACATGGACCTTCCCAGACTCCCTCCCCTCCCATGCCAACTCGAAGGTCATCTCCCTTGACAATCCGTGGAACTCAAATCGTCTACAGAGGCTAGGGAAATCATCAATCATCCACGTCGAGCCGTGCAACCGTTCGCAAGGATAACGGTTACAGTCCAAACTCAAACGGACGATCACACGAGGTCACGCACATAAACAAAGAGCCATAATAAAGTTGGCTTGATATGGACTCTGTAGCTGAAGAGGCTCGGCAGCCTTGCGCAAGGCGGCGCACCTCGTACTCGGCATCGTCTGCGCTGCCCTCGGCCTCGCAGGCACGGCCGCACACTACACCCTCCATCGTCGACGTCACGCGCAAGCCCGCACGTCTGCATGACCGCACCTGCACGTGACCACCTCCTCCTCCTCATCCTCCTCCTCCTCATCCTCCTCCTCCCACATGGAGACAAGCCGCCTTCTCCTCTCACCCGACCCCCTTTCTCCTCCTTCCCCCAGCTGGCGAGGCCAGCTCTCTTCGAGAGCTATCATCGTTGCCCCCTGTCCTTTGTTTCGCATGGTCGTGCACAATGCGTGGGCCTGATAGGCGAGTTGCAACTGACTGCCAATACACTGTTATGACTACAGGATGGTCGTACTGTCCAGCTCCGTCCTCCTCATCATCCTTCCAAGCGCACTGGGGCTCGAGCTTCGCTGACCGCCGCGGCGCTCCGCCGCAGACGCCCGCGTCGGTGCGCCCCGTGCCTCGGCGCAGCAGAGCGGGCCAGCGAGCTCAGCGCACATCCGCGAAATCCGTGCGGAGCGTCGAAAGTCTACCTTTTTCTTAGGGCGCCCACAAAGGGCGTCCGCGCAAAACCACGCACCTGAGCACGGCCCCCCAGTCCGCGAGATCAGCCACATGGTACGAACATTCGCGCAGTGCGTACTCTCCGTTTTCATCCCTTGGGGCCGCAACCTTCCGCCGCCCCTCCGCCGCCCTTCCGCCGGCGGAGGCGGCCTCGGTTTACTTCCGCCGACCTTCCGCCGCCTCCGCCGCGGAAGAGATGGCAACTCCTTCTCTCCTCGAAGGCAAGGCCCTCTTTGGAGCGCCCAGTGTACGTGTACGTCGTCCTTCCCCCGCTCTTGCTGTCTGCCGCTCTGCTCTCCGATGCCGGGTGCGACCCGACGCGATGGGGGTGCCGCGGTGCGGCGCCCAGGCCCTCTCTGGCGGCACCGTGGCGCGCGGGTGGTCGGCGCGCGAACGGCGCGAGGGGCCCGCTCTCACGCCCGCGCCCGGCCTCGCGCCCACCCGTGAGGGGCCAAGGCGTGCTGGTGCCAGCTGCGGCAGCGCTGGGCGCTGGGGACCCTCGCGGCAGCCGCCGCTGCTGCTCGATGCGCTCGGAATCGGTACACGTCGGTCGGACGGTGGGAAGAAGTGGAAAAAAACAGGAGGCAGGAAGGCGGATCAAGTAGATGGGCTCGGGCCCTCCCAGAGAAGAACAAAACGCAGCAAAAGCATATCGATTCTTGAAGTAGGGAGGCGCTTGAAATAGACTGGGATTTGGAAATATGGGCATAGACCTGCATGTACGGGGATGTTGGGGACGAAGACACCGACTGGGTTGCGGAACCCGAAGCCTGCCCCCGCCAACCATGGATTCAATGGCGGCGCGCAGAGGGGTTATGAGGAAGGGGGCAAGGCTTCTTAGAGGGAGGCTGCTTCTTGGAAGGTACGGGCCTTGCATCTACAGACAAGGCCCGTGCCCTCTAAGAAGCAAGGATGCTTCCAAGAAGCCTTTCCCCCTCCCCCTACACCCCTCTGCGAGTGGCCGACTTCTCCTGAATCGATGGGGGGCGGGGAGAGGCTTCGGATTTCACCATGTGTTCGACGAGTTCCGAAACCTACCCCCGCCGCCATTCGGGCTGCCTGAATCTTTGATCGGCCAGGGTAGGCTTCGGATTCCGCCGCTGAGTTCCTGCGCACTTTGAAAAGAACTCGCTGTCGGCGTGACCGCGGGCGGTGTCCGTCTGCGACAGAAAATCGCTCGCCCACCAGCGGCCGCCGTCGGTGTTAGACACCACTTGCTATTCGGCATCTTACCCATACAGTGCGGGCGCGGCCGCAAGAACCCCTCGCAAGAAACCCAACCCTGAGAACCCGTGCGCGAGGTGCACCTGATGGGAAACCTGGAGCACCCTGAACACAGCAGCTCCTTCAACGGCTGCGGGAAGTCACCGCGCAGCGCGAGGAGCGAAGAAACCCAGGATACCCTGACGAAAAGCACATGGTTTCTTGATGCGCGCCCCCACTGTATTGTCCATACCCATCGATCGAACAAGTGGGTAAACATCTGGCGTAGGGAGGCATTGGAAGCAAGTTGGAGACCCGCCCGCCCCTGGAGACGCAAGCACGTGGAAAGCCACTCAGCCCTTGACACACGAGAACACCTAAAGCAGATTGGAATCTGGGAATCTCGGGCCGGGCGAAAGGGGGGGATAGCAAAGGGTGGGTTTGATAATCAGCTCACGTAGCTGATCTTCCCGGCGCCTCCCGGCGCCGGGAGGCGCCCATGTATCGAGGACTGGGCCCGGCGGCGGGGCCGAAACCAGCTGCATGCAGCAGATTTCGAACCCCCCCCTTTAGCTATTCCCCCGTTTCGTTCGGCCCGGGAATCCAAGAGTTGGGGAAACGAACAAGTACCGATATCGCAGCTCCCCAGACCTCTCTCAGAGTGCTCTCTGAACGGGGCCTCAAGGCGAATCCAGCGATGGCGACGAGGGTCTTCAGGGAGGGCCCAAAAGGGCGAAAATGAGGCAAGGGTAGCGGTATGGGTACCTTGTTCCCCATTCAGTGCTTGCACTGAAGGGGTCCTAGCGGAAATTGAAAGATTTGGCGAACATTTCCCGCCGATTTTGGTAGCCGGCTGGGTTCCCCGGTTCCTGATTCCGGGTTCCAGGGTTCCTGGTCATTGGTTCTGGGCCGACTTTGGTGGGTTCCAGGTTCCCGGGTTGCCGGTCGATCTCCTCACCGATCTCCTTATCGATCCCATTTCAAACTTTTCAATGAATGGGGTTCTTCTCTAGTGCAATCCTCCTTGAAAAACACCACGGACGTGCAGGATAAGGATGCGCGGTAATGATGCACGGGCCTTGGGGCGAGCGGGGACAGGCCAGCGAAGGCGGCCAAGGATGGGCCGAAGGGGAAGGAAGCAAGGATAAATTTGAGAAGTCGCCCAGCCTTGTCAGCGTTTTCTCATTCGGCGTTTCGACATTGGGCGGCAAGGGGGGGGAAGAGGGGGGAGGTCTGGCTCCGGACCTCTGCTTACTGCGACTGCTTGCATGAGTGCGTCCATTGTGGGGGAGGGTTCACCTGCTCGCAACGGGCGCCCAAAAACAGCCAAGATCCACTCCATGGGGGGGGAGGGGGGGGGGCGTGCGAGGGCCCGCGCAGATCGGCAAAACAACGAGTAACAAAACGACCGCCTTACTCAGAAGAAGCACAACTGCATCAGAATCAACTTTTGGCGCTCCGCGCGGATTTCTTCGAACCGCGCTGGAGCCTGCCCCCCCTTCCCTGGCGGCGCCGCGGGGGGGGGGCCCGGGGGGGGGAAAGCGCTTCGGCGAAGGGGAATAATGCCATGGTAACCTTGGAAAATCCCTCACCCTTAATGCGAGTTGGCTGCACCCACTCTCAGCGACCGATGAGGCGCCCCTGCCGAGCGTGCCGAGCTGACGCACATTAGACTGCTGGAGGCCGGGGCGGGCGGCGGCCGAAAGGCGGCGAGAGGCGTCGTGCCCCCCCCTCCGGGGCGGCAGGTGCAGAGCCGATCTGCGGGACCACCGAGCTGGCCGTGGGTCGGCGGCGCGTCAAGGGGGGAAATGCTCCTCCTCCTCCTCCTCCTCCTCCTCCTCCTCCTCCTCCGCTTCCTAATTCAGACTTCTCCTCCTCCTCCTCCTCCTCCTCCTCCTCCTCCTCCTATGATTCCTCCTCCTCTTCCTCCTCCTCCACCTGATCGGACATCTTTTGTCATGAGGAAGACGGGTCCGAAGGGGCAGGCCTCCTCGGAAGGCCGTGGGGCTTCTCAGAAGCCATCGCGCCTTCTGAGAGGCCGCCTCGCCTTCGTCTTCGGAGGAGGCTTGTAAAGAGCCTATCAGAACGCGCGGGGGCTTCTGAGAAGCCCAGCCGCCTTCTGAGAAGGCTGAGAACATCCTGAGAGTGGAGTCGGAAACCAGGCTTCAGAATGTAAGGCGGTAGCATCTTCTGCGATGTTGGAACCTAGCGTCAAGCAGCAGTTTGATGTATCTGTCACTCGTCGAAACAACCTGGCTTAATGTTGGGCTCGCAATCCAGATGTGTGCAGATAGTATGCGGCCAGTGTGAAGCGACACACAGCACGCAATACATCGATATCTTCGCGACTGCAGCGTCGCCAGATTACTGTCGCCATGACCGCTCCCGCAATCATACGCTTCGGCTTGCCGACAGTGGTAATCTCACCGTATCTTGCGCGCAAACACCTTGGGAGTTGTTGAAAACGCGATGATGGGGCGCAATGTCATTTGTACCTCTCCCTTGACTTAGCGGCGGACGGCAATGCCGTGATCGACCACCAGGGGTACCCGAAGGGATCGCGAAGCTCCCTCGACGTGTTTATTCAGTGCGCGATATCCAAACCTACCGGATACCGAGCAACATTCTGAGGATCAGGCGATCGCAGGCCCGTCGAACGTAGGACGTCCTTTGCAGCGCTGTCTAGAACTCTCAAGGAGGGGCAACTCTTCGAGGAGAGGCCCAGCAACCTTTGCACTTGTCGGCAAACTGGTAACTGCGCTATCATTCATGTCCCTATCGTAAGGTCTAGGGCTTGAATTTGGAGGTCTTTCGTGGCCAGAGTGGCATGAACCTCCCTGTGGAATTTGCAACGCTGCACCCCAACTACTATGAAAACAAGGGCCGCGAGATCAAAATTCCAAGAGACTCCACACGTCCAACACTGAACGTCATCAACAAGGCGCAGACGGCAAGGCCGGTAGCAAAGTGATCGAGGCAAAAGCCAGGGACGCCAAGAATGGCAAGGGTGCAACAGCGGCGAGACAGGGCAGCGAAATCGGCCAGCATGCTGCGCCGCTGCCAGGTGCCCGCAGATCACTGCTTCGCTGCACGAAGGGAGCTGCCCGCACCAGCCACCGCAATTGGACTGCGTCAAGGGGACCCCCCCCGGCTCGCGGACGTGACGCACGTATCTGCAGAGGCACGTGGCGCGAAAATGCGCCGATCTCCCGCCACCACTAATCACCTCAGGTGGGAGAGGGAGGAGGAGAAGGAGGAGG